TTCCTCCTTAATGCCAGGCTGCTTCTCTCCTTGCTCAGTTTCTCTCCGTTACTTCTTGCTTCGGAGAAGAGGTTAGAAGAATAACAGAATAAAAGAGCTGGAAGGCACCTTGGAGGTCTTCTAGTCCAACCCCCTGGTCAGTCAGGACACCCTCTACCATTTGAGACAAATGGTTGCTTCTCCCCTGATTTTCCATCCGTTGCTTCTGGTCCTGCCTTCAGGTGCTTTGGAGAACAGACTGGCCCCTCTTTTTTGTGGCAGCTCCTCAAATTGGAAGACTGCTATCCTGTCACCCCTAGTCCTGATACAGAATAATAGAGTTGGAAGGGACCTTGGAGGTCTTCTAGTCTAACCCCCTACGCAGGAAGGAGACCTAGGCCTAGACCAGGGGTAGGCAACCTTGGCTCTTTTATGACTCTTGGACTTCAACTCCCAGAATTCCTGAGCCAGCCGTGCTGAGGGGAAAGGGAGGTTTTCAAGCTGAGCCATGCTGGCTGAGGAATTCTGGGAGTTGAAGTCCACTAATCATAAAAGAGCCAAGGTTGCCTACCTCTGGCTTAGGGCCTAGCCCTCTTTATGACTCGTGGACTTCAACTCCCAGAATTCCTGAGCCAGCATGGCTCAGCTTGGAAACCTCTCCCTTTCCCCTCAGCATGGCTGGCTCAGGAATTCTGGGAGTTGAAGTCCACCAGTCATAAAAGAGCCAAGGTTGCCTACGACTGGCCTAGGCCTAGGCCGATTTATGACTCGTGGATTTCAACTCCCAGAATTCCTGAGCCAGCCCTGCTGAGGGGAAAGGGAGAGATTTCGAAGCTGAGCCATGCTGGCTCAGGAATCCTGGGAGTTGAAGTCCATTAGTCATAAAAGAGCCAAGGTTGCCTACGACTGGCCTAGGCCTAGGCCGATTTATGACTCGTGGATTTCAACTCCCAGAATTCCTGAGCCAGCCATGCTGAGGGGAAAGGGAGAGATTTCGAAGCTGAGCCATGCTGGCTCAGGAATCCTGGGAGTTGAAGTCCATTAGTCATAAAAGAGCCAAGGTGGCCTACCCCTGGCCCTAGACCATTCCAGACAAACGGCTGTCCAGTCTCTTCTTAAAAGTCTCCAGTGATGGAGCACCTACAACTTCTTAAGGACACACCATCCCGCTGATCGTTTTCCCTCTCAGGAAAATTCCTCCTTGCTTCTAGGCTGCTTCTCTCCTCAATTAGTTTCCCCCCTTCCATCCATGCACACATGCAAACACACACGCACACACGCAAACACACAAACACACACACAAACACACAAACACACACACAAATATTCAGGTCCAGCCCAGCCACCAGGCAGTGGCAGAGGGAAAGCAAATTTCCAGTGTTTGCTTTGTTGCGACTGGATTTTTTCCTGCCGGAACAATTGTCTGGCCCCAAAAGGACTTCGCTGGATCCAGGCCTGCTGAAGCCAGCGGTGTTGATTGATTGACACACAGGCATTAACACATAGCCTGCAGACAATATATTTGTGACTTACACACCTGCGTTCGCACACAGACCTTACAACTCTTCTGCAAGGTCCAAAAGGGCAACCTTACAACTCAACCCACTCCCACGTAAAGTCCTAGCAATGCTCTCAATAAAAAAACTATGGTCTTCCCATCCTCTCCGTTGTCCTAAAGGGCCAAAAATTGGGGGTAGCCTGGGGACTAGGCTGTTCCCCAGAGAAAGGGTTGCCACCAAGTATCCCGTCTCCTTGATGCATTTGGGGGGGGGGGAGCTGCTGGAACATTCTCTCCTTGCTAGACCGGGTAGGGGAGGCCACTTGGAGAAGATGGCGGTCCACCAGCTGCTGAAGGAGCAAAGGTTGGGGCCCAGCCTGACCTCAACGGGCCTGCTGTTCTAGAGGGAGGGGGCCCCAGTCTCTGGCAGGTGACCTCCTGCCAGATGGGCCTCCAAAACATCCTCTCTTGCTAGACCAGGTGGAAGGGTGGAGTCTACCTGGGCCAGGAGCAGGCCACCTTGGTTCTTTTATGACTGGTGGACTTCAACTCCCAGAATTCCTGAGCCAGCCGTGCTGAGGGGAAAGGGAGAGGTTTCCAAGCTGAGCCATGTTGGCTCAGGCATTCTGGGAGTTGAAGTCCACGAGTCAATAAGCGGCCTAGGCCTAGGCCAGGGGTAGGCAACCTTGGCTCTTTTATGACTGGTGGACTTCAACTCCCAGAATTCCTGAGCCAGCATGGGGGAACTATGGCCCCCTCATGACTTGTGGACTTCAACTCCCAGAATTCCTGAGCCAGCAGGGGGGAACTATGGCCTCCTCATGACTCGTGGACTTCAACTCCAGAATTCCTGAGCCAGCATGGCTCAGCTTGGAAATCTCTCCCTTTCCCTTCAGCATGTCTGGCTCAGGAATTCTGGGAGTTGAAATCTACGAGTCATAAAAGAGCCAAGGTTGCCTACCCCTGGCCTAGGCCTAGGCCGCCTTACAACTTGTGGACTTCAACTCCCAGAATTCCTGAGCCAGCCTGGCTCAGCTTGGAAACCTCTCCCTTTCCCCTCAGCGTGGCTGGCTCAGGAATTCTGGGAGTTGAAGTCCACGAGTCATAAAAGAGCCAAGGTGGCCTACCCCTGCTCTAAGGAAAAGGTGTCCCCAAAGAGGGAGCCACAAACACCTACACGTCTCCACCTGTGGGATGGGCGGGGCTCTGCTGAGCCGGCAGGTGCTGGTCAGCAACCGGCCTATAGATGCTTGTGCGCTCCCTTCCCAGCCCCGATGGTCTCCACCTCGTCTTCCAGGGCAGCCCCGGGAAGGGAATTCGACTTGCAACAGTTCGTTTAGGGGCTGAAGGCACAACGGCCACCGAAAAGAGTGACTCAGGACCGTTTCTCACACTTACTAGCCTTGTAGCCTCCCCGTGGTCACGTGACTCAGACTAAAACCCTTGGCAACTGGCATGTACTTAGGACGGTTGCAGTGTCCCGGCGTCACGCAACCTTCTTCTGTAGCCTCCTAACCAGCAAAGTCAATGGGGGAAGCCTGATTCGCTTAACAGCCGTGTTACTAACTTAGCCACCACAGCGATCCGCTGAACAGCCGGGGCGAGGAAGGTCGTAGAATGGGCCAATGTCTCACTTAGCAACGTACGCTCAACGTTGAGGACTAGCTGCCGAAATGCAGACGAGCCTGAGTCACGTCTTCAGCACGATGGGAGAGGATCCAATGGGCTGATTATAATAATAAATAATAATAATAATGTTGGAAGGGACCTTGGAGGTCCTCTAGTCCAACCCCCTGCTCAGCCAGGGCACCCTATGCCATTTCAGACAGATGGCTGTCCAGTCTGTTCTTAAAAACCTCCGACTGTTGGAACTGTGAGCTCTCAGTCTCCTTTCTAGTGCACGGTCTCTCTTGGAGATAAAGAAAATGGGCAGTGTGAGCCTCGGCCGGAGCTGACCAGGAAGAGCAGTGTCCGTTTCCCAAATCCTATTTGAAGATGGTGGCGTCTGGCCTGAAAAGGAGCAGCAGGTGCAAAGCCTCCCGGCCCGCAGCTTTTGGACCTTTTCCAAGAGTCAGCATGGGCCAGTCAGCCGAAGGGAGATTCCTCTGTTTGACTTAACACGGGAGGCGATCCTTTAAAAAAAAAGGGGGGGGGATTTATGCCGGGGATTTAGATTTAATCCTGAGCAGCCAAGAACAGGATTAATCTAAGTGCAGCCCATCGGTCAAGTTGTGGGACGCCCTAAACTAGGGGGGAGGGGGTTTCCTCCAAATTCAGCCATTTTAAGACCTGTGGACTTCAACTCCCAGAATTCCTCAGCCAGCACGGCTGGCTGAGGAATTCTGGGAGTTGAAGTCCACAGGTCTTAAAATGGCTGAATTTGGATAGCCCTGTTTGAAACCAGCTTTTTTTTTTTTTTGAAACTTGGCAAAGGTGGCTGGGGAATTCTAGAGTTGGGGTCCCCATGGGTGAAAGTTGCTAAGTTTGAAAATCACTGCTCTAAACCCAGCCAATTGAGGTTTAAAGTCCCACCGATCGGCAATATTCTGGACCATCATCAGTCCTCTATAGGTGGGTCGGTCCTAAAACCCATCCCGGTTTCTACGTTGTCAATGTTTTGCCGTTGTCCGATCAACCTCTGGCTCCCGTTTGGACACTGACATCTGGGCCAGTGGAAGCAATTTGAGCCTGGAATTCTGCTGGCAAGGATAACCTAGCATTTAATAATTTTAGTAATAGTAGTAAAGTTGGAAGGGACCTTGGAGGTCATCTAGTCCAACCCCCTGCTCAGGCAAGAAACCCTACACCAGTGATTCTCAACCTGTGGGTCGGGACCCCATTTGGGGTCGAACGACCATTTCACGGGGGTCACCAAACAAGGCTGTCCACCATTTTTTCCCCCTTTTCTTTGTCCACGCCACTGGCACCCGGTGATGTATAAGTAGTTGGGGGTCACCACAACATGGGGAACTGTATTATGGGGTCGCGGCATTAGAAAGGTTGAGAACCACTGCCCTACACCATTTCAGACAAATGGCTGTCCAGTCTCTTCTTAAAAACTTCCAATGTTGGAGCATTTACCGCTTCTGGAGGCAGGTTGTTCCACTGGTTAATTGTTCTCACTGTCAGGAAGTTTCTCCTTAGTTCCAGGTTGCTTCTCTCCTTGATTCGTTTCCATCTGTTGCTTCATGTCTTGCCTTCAGGCAGGCTCGGGCTATTTGAGGCTAGGTTTGTGACAAAAGTGCGAAACATGGCGACAAAATGCCAGTCAAGGTGGGCTAATGGAGCTGCTGAGCAGGACCAAGGCAGACAAGAGTGCGGACGGCCAGTGGGTTTCCTTCTCCCCGTGTAAGAAACAGATGGAACCAGGGCTTAATTCCTTTGATCCCATCCGTTGTCAGCGGTGGAAGCTCACGGGGTGCACAACTGAGGTGCACAACTAAGAGCTTTACTCTGCAAACCGCACAAGGGCGGCCCCTTTCTACCACCCGGAATCAAAAAACGGAGCGCATCAAACAGCTCAACCCGTCAACTCTACAGTAAGAATTTATTTGAGAACTTCCACCGTTGTTGGTGGAAAGCAATCGAAATCACTACACCATTTTAATAAGCTTGCTTCTGGAAGGGAAACACGACGTGAAAAGTCTCCCGAAAGGAACCAAGTTAAAAAAAAAATGAACAAAAAAACAAAATAAAACAGGAACGTAAAACACGAAGAAGCAACTGGACCCTAAATAAAACTTCGCAGAGGCACTCCCCGTCTTCGTATCACGTTAAGCTCTCTTTTTCCGTGCCTTCTTTCTCCTCGGCTGTGCTCTTGATCATGAATTTCTGAAAAGGGGGATAAGGGTTCGAAGTCTTTATCACACATTAAAAGAGGGTTTATTTCTCCTCCCCCCCCCTCCCCAAGGCTAACCGGTTGCCCTTTTCGGAGAAACGGAAGCCCAGCGTTCTCGTTCCGTTTTCTTCCTATCCCTTTATCTGCAGCTTTCCAACTTGGGCACCCGGGCCTGTAGACACAACTCCAGGCCTCCAATAATAAAAGGAGAGTATTTCTAGCTCCAGGGTTGAGCTGTGAGGGGTCCTTGGTGCTCTCTGAGCCCCTGGGGTGCCTTCCTTGCAGACGTTTCATGACCCAACTAGGGAACATCATCAGTGGCAGAAGGGAAGGGTTTGTGGAGTGGAGCAGGAGGAGGACTGTGGGGTCCTGGGTGCTCTCTGAGCTGGGTGGTCTCTTTGAAGGTGTTTCATGACCCAACTAGGTAACCTTATCAGTGCTAGGAGGGAGTGGGTTTTGCGGGGGGGGGGGGAGGAGGAGGAGGTCCTTGGTGCTCTCTGAGCTTGGTGGTTTTCTGGCAGACGTTTCATTACCAAACTAGGTGACATCATCAGTGCTAGAAGGGAGGGTTTGTGGAGGAAGAGGAAGACTATGGGGTTCTTTGGTGCTCTCTGAGCTTGGTTTCCTTGCAGACATTTCATTACCCAACTAGAGAACATCATCAGTGCTAGAAAGGAGTGTGTTGTGTGGAGAAGAGGAGGAGGAGGAGGAGACGATGACGACCCTGGTGCTCTCTGAGCTTGGTGGTTTTCTGGCAGACGTTTCATTACCAAACTAGGTGACATCATCAGAGCTTAGAAGGGAGGGGGGTTTGTGAAGAATAGGAGGATGGGGAGGAAACCTTGGTGCTCTCTGAGCTTGGTGGTTTCCTTGCAGACATTTCATTACCCAACTAGAGAACATCATTAGTGCTAGAAAGGAGTGTGTTGTGTGGAGAAGAGGAGGAGGAGGAGGAGACGGAGACCTTCGTGCTCTCTGAGCTTGGTGGTTTTCTGGCAGACGTTTCATTACCAAACTGGATGATATCATCAGTGCTAGAAGGGAGGAGGGTTTGTGAGGAGGAGGAGGAGGACTGTGGGGTCCTGGGTGCTCTCTGAGCTGGGTGATTTCCTTGAAGGCGTTTCATGACCCAACTAGGTAACGTCATCAGTGCTAGAAGGGGGAGGGGTTTGAGAAGAGGAGGAGGAGGAGGAGGAGGATAACTGTGAGGTCCTTGGTGCTCTCTGAGCTGGGTGGTTTCATTGCAGACATTTCATGACCCGACTAGGTAACAGCATCAGTGCTAGAAAGGAATGGGGTTTGAGAAGAGGAGGAGGAGGGGGAGGAGGAGCAGGAGCAGAAGGGGGAGGAGCAGGAGCAGGAGAGGGAGGGGGAGGAGGAGGAGGAGGAGGACTGTGGGGTCCTGGGTGCTCTCTGAGCTGGGTGGTTTCCTTGAAGGCGTTTCATGACCCAACTAGGTAATGTCATCAGTGCTAGAAAGGAGTGGGCTTTGCTGTCACTTCCTATTCTGTGGCTTGCCCTGTCAGTGACGATGGGGGTGGTCTTAAGAGATTCTTTGGCTGGGCTGTTTGCTGTTGACTTTTTTGGCAGCTTCTTGACCGGGGTCTGGTTTACCTGATTGTTGGTCTGATGTTAATTAACCTGGGGGTTCATCCATGCTGATCCGGGTGCTGATGGCCGCTGGGGGTCGTTTTGTTCAGGGCTCTACACTAATGGCGGTCTTATTCTCAGTCCCTTCCCCAGGGGTTCCTAGAACTGCCTCTGCTTTTTCAAAACGACCACAGAGTCACCCTGTTCACCGCACAAACCGCCAGGACACCCCGAAATGTTTTTCCTGACAAATGCAGGCAGTTCAGACCTCACCAACCGATGGGACAGATCTGTTCCAAATCAAGTCACACTTGCAGGGGAAACTCGAAAAATTAGAATATCGTGCAAAAGTTCCATTGATTTCAGTAATGCAACTTAAAAGGTGAACCTAATATATGAGATAGACTCATTACCTGCAAAGCAAGATAGTTCAAGCCGTGATGTGTCGTAAGCGAGATGATGATGGCTTACAGCTCATGAAAACCCCAAATCCACAAACTGAGAAAATTGGAATATTGCATGCAATCAATAAAACAAAGATTGTACATAGAACAACATCAGACCTCTGAAAAGTATAAGCATGCATATGTACTCAGTACTTGGTTTGGGCCCCTTTTATTTATTTATTTATGAGACTTATATACCACTTTAAGTGCAAGCACTCTCTAAGCGGTGTACACCAGTAAGCAATGTGTGTATATATATTTACATTGCCCCCAACAATCTGGGTCCTCATTTTACCTACCCCGGAAGGGTGGAAGGCTGAGTCGACCTTGAGCCGGTGAGATTTGAACCGCTGACCGTCAGCTAAAGTGGCCTGCAGTACTGCACCCTAACTGCTGCGCCACCTCGGCTCATTTTGCAGCAGTTACTGCCTCAATGCGGCGTGGCATGGAAGCTATCAGCCTGTGGCACTGTTGAGGTGTTATGGAAGACCAGGGTGCTTCAATAGCAGCCTTCAGCTCTTCTGCATTGTTCGATCTCGTGTCTCTCATCTTTCTCCTGGCAATGCCCCATAGATTCTCTATGGCAGCAGTTCTCAACCTGTGGGTCAGGCCCCCATTTGGGGTCGAACGACCATTTCACGGGGGTCGCCAAACAACGCAGTCCGCCATTTTTCCCCCCTTTTCCTTAGCTGTGCGACTCCCTTTTATTCTATTGGCTTTTGAAAGCCAACAGAATAGACTCTCTTGAATAGAGTCTAATTCTATTGGCTTTCAAAAGCCAATAGGAATTGTCCAGGCTGTCTCTGCCCTGCTGAGCCCGCCAAAAGTCCCATTCTGCAAACGGGGCTGCACCAGTTGAGTCGTCCTCGACTTAACGACCGGTTGAGTAGTCCTCGACTTATGACCGGTTGGGGGGTCGCGGCATTAAAAAGGCTGAGAACCACTGAACTAGGGGGTTCAGGTCAGGCGAGTTTGCTGGCCAATCAAGCACAGTAACCCCCCGGTCATTGAACCAGGTTTTGGTGCTTTTGGCCTCTCCATTCTTCCTCCAGACTCTGGGTCCTTGGTTCCCAAATGAGATGCAAAAGTTGCTCTCATCAGAAAAGAGGACTTTGCACCACTGAGCAACAGACCAGTTCTGCTTTTTCTTTAGCCCCAGGTAAGGCGCTTCTGACGTTGTTTGTTGTTCAGGAGCGGCTTGACAAGAGGATTATGACATTTGAAGCTCATGTCCAGGATAGCCGTCTGGTGTGGTGTGTGTGTGTGGTGGCTCTTGATGCCCTGACTCCAGCCTCAGTCCACTCCTTGTGAAAGTCCCAAACACTTTTGAATGGCCTTTTCCTGACCATCCTCTCCAGGCTGCGGTCATCGCTGCTGCTTGCGCACCTTTTTCTTCCACACTTTCCCCTTCCACATAACTTTCTATTAACGTGCTTTGGGAACATCCAACTTCGTTTGCAATTACTTTTTGAGGCTTTCCCTCCTTATGGAGGGTGTCAGTGATGGTTTTCTGCACAACTGTCAGGTCAGCGGTCTTTCCCATGATTGTGATCCCTACTGAACCAGACTGAGAGACCATTTAAAGGCTCAGGAACCCTTTGCAGGTGGTTAGCTGATTAGAGTGAGCCTAGAATATTGAACCTTTTCACAATATTCTAATTTTCTGAGAGTGTGGATTTGGGGTTTTCATGAGCTGTAAGCCATCATCATCTCACTTATGACACATCACGGCTTGAACTCTTTGCTCTTTGCAGGTAATGAGTCTATCTCATATATTAGGTTCACCTTTTAAGTTGCATTACTGAAATAAATGGAACTTTTGCACGATATTCTAATTTTTCGAGTTTCACCTGTACTTCAACCCAAAGGCAAACTAGGTTAACTAGTGAAGAGGTTGCCTAGTCCGGGCCGAGCTCAGAGAACGCCAAGCTTCCCCCACTTCCACCCTGAGCTACAAATATTCTCCCCTCTGTGTGGTACAACTTGGGGTCTCTGCTTGCTCTCTGCAGCTCCCCCTCCTCCGTCCTTTTCAAGGCCTAGACCAGGGGTAGGTCACCTTGGCTCTTTTATGACTTGGGGACTTCAACTCCCAGAATTCCTGAGCCAGCCTGGCTCAGCTTGGAAACCTCTCCCTTTCCCCTCAGCGTGACTGGCTGAGGAATTCTGGGAGTTGAAGTCCACGAGTCATGAAGGGGCCTAGGCCAGAAGTAGGCCACCTTGGCTCTTTTATGACTGGTGGACTTCAACTCCCAGAATTCCTGAGCCAGCCACGCTGAGGGGAAAGGGAGAGGTTTCCAAGCTGAGCTGTGCTGGTTCAGGAATTCTGGGAGTTGAAGTCCCCAAGTCATAAAAGAGCCAAGGTTGCCTATCTCTGGCCTAGGCCTAGGCCGCTTTATGACTCGTGGACTTCAACTCCAGAATTCCTGAGCCAGCATGGGGGGGAACTTCCCTTCCTGAGCCAGCATGGGGGAAACTTTGGCCCCTTCATGACTGGTGGACTTCAACTCCCAGAATTCCTGAGCCAGCCACGCTGAGGGGAAAGGGAGAGGTTTCCAAGCTGAGCCATGGTGGCTCAGGAATTCTGGGAGTTGAAGTCCACGAGTCAGAAAGCGGCCTAGGCCTAGGCCAGGGGTAGGCAACCTTGGCTCTTTTATGACTGGTGGACTTCAACTCCCAGAATTCCTGAGCCAGCCTGGCTCTCCCTTTCCCCTCAGCATGGCTGGCTCAGGAATTCTGGGAGTTGAAGTCCACGAGTCATGAAGGGGCCAAAGTTTCCCCCATGCTGGCTCAGGAATTCTGGGAGTTGAAGTCCACGAGTCGTAAAAGAGCCAAGGTGGCCTACCCCTGTCCTTGGCCATCCCTATCCTGAAGACCTCGGGGGGGGGGGAGGGAATCCTGGGGAAGGGACCCCCCGGATACTGGCCAAGAGTCCAGCCGGCCCTGCAGGGAACACGGGGTTTACGCTCGGTTGAGGAAGTGACCCTGTGCCTCAGTTCCCCCTCGCGCCCCTTTGCTACCTCCATATTCTGCTGATGAAGCTGAGACAGGCAGTGGCTCTTCATGGATTCTTCGAACACGCAGAAGCAGGAGCAGATCTGGCAGAAGTAGCCCGCTTTGGGGACCAGGAAATCTAAATCTAGATTTGAGAAGGCGACAAACAAAATAAATTACAGCTTGACAAGGACCGCTGCGGTTCATCTTTTTAGCTACTGTTTGTTCGTTTTATTGATTAAGTCTGTTGGCTGCCCATCTCACCACAACAGCGCAGGAAGTGCCTGCAGGCTCATTTTTACCACCACCCCTAGCTTGCTATCACCTATTATCACCTTCCATTATTCCCTAAACCAGGAAATAGGCAAAGCATCCTTCTCTTTCCGTTTCTGCTTCCTGGCCTCGGCGTTTGGGGGGGGGGGCTGTCTTAGAGCACCCTAACCGCCTACGGTCTTTGAAGTGGGGGGCACCCAGAAAACCCGCCCTGATGGCTCAGATGTTCAAAGTACAGTGAAGACAGACGGACAGAGATGGCCATTCTCTCTGCAAGCAACCTCTGCCGAACACAATGAAGACTTTACGTTTCAGACTAGGCCAGAGCTGGGCAACCTTGGCTCTTTTATGACTGGTGGACTTCAACTCCCAGAATTCCTGAGCCAGCAGGGCTCAGCTTGGAAACTCTCCCTTTCCCCTCAGCATGGCTGGCTCAGGAATTCTGGGAGTTGAAGTCCACCAGTCATAAAAGAGCCAAGGTCGCCCACCCCTGGACTGGAGAAAGCCACCCATTGGCCCAATCTAGCTATTTAATGCAAGCCCCCCCATAACCTGAGGGGGGGGGTCTTTCCTCTGACTAATGATGCTCCATCGCTCGCTGGGTTGGGTGATTAAATCCCCTTTGATCTCCACCTTTTCCACTCAGTACGGCCCAAAATTTCCTTTGCCAAGCGAGACGGTTGATAAGTGAGTTTTGCCCCACCTTGCTTGCCATCGATGTTAAGTGAACCACTGCAGGGGTTGAGTTAGTGCAGGGTTAGGCCACCTTGGCTCTTTTATGACTGGTGGACTTCAACTTTCAGAATTCCTGAGCCAGCCTGGCTCAGCTTGGAAACCTCTCCCTTTCCCCTCAGCGTGGCTGGCCCAGGAATTCTGGGAGTTGAAGTCCACCAGTCATAAAAGAGTCAAGGTGGTCTACCCCTGGACTAGGCTGTCCCAAAGGCCTACCTTTCAGCTGGCTTGACGCCTTCGGCTTCTCCGCGGACTCTACTTTCCTTTGTTTAGTTTCCGGCTGTTCAACGTCGGATTCCATCCGACCTGCAACGGGGACATTCTGATTAGCAAGCAGGGTATAACTGACCCCTGGGCTGCCCGTCGTGCCACACGCTTTGCTTACATTGCTTGTATCTGAGGAGTAGCTGCCCACCTGTAGCAGGTGACCAGGGTGAGCCCGAGGGAGGGAGGAAGGGAGGGATTAAGCGGATCAAGTCCCTTCATATCCACAAGCGATCCAAGCCCAGGCCACTGGACCTGAATCCCACTGAGAGTCTTACCTACGGCCAATTTGTCACATTTCAGATTCTTTTTTTTTTTTTTTTAAGAAAATTTGATCGATTTTCTAGTTTTACATTTAAATATTTGAGAAGCAACGTGGCGGCTGAGTGGGTCCATACTTCCATAACATACAAATCTCTTTAGTACAGATCTCAAAACGATTGCATTAAATGTTTCCTCTCTTTTCCCCTTGGTATATTTACCGTCTCGTATTTGAGTTAATACTATTCTTATGATATGGATTATATAAAAAAATAAATAAGGTTTCGGATTCTTGTAGAGTGCAGGTAATAAATCTGTCTCTGTTTGAAGCGCCGTGGCTGCTGAATCCCTGCCTCTCCAAGCTTCAGATTCATTTATACATTTATTTATCTGGAGAATGCATGTGGCCACCCACTCACTCTCGGTGACTCTGGGCGGCTTAACCAAAAATAAAAAAACCCATATACGTCAATATAAAAAAAAAACTCTGCGCTGGCGACAGCAATCCGTCAAACAAGCCACCTGATGGACTCCCTCCCACTCTGGGGTCCCCAGACCGGTGGGCAGAACCCGGTCTTCAAGGGCCTTGAGGAAGAGTGTCAAAAGTGGGGGCCAGGCCAATCTCTGCGGGGATGAAGTTCACAGGGAGGGAGCCACCACGGAGAAGGCCCTTCTCCTGGTTCCCACCAGATGGACCTCCTCAAGAGAGAGGACCCATTACGTCCCCTGACTACACCCTCTGGCGGATCAGGTGGATACAACTGGGAAACGAGGGTCCTTCAAATAACAGGGAGGGAGCCACCACGGAGAAGGCCCTTCTTCTGGGTCCCGCCAGATGGACCTCCTCAAGAGAGGGGACCCATAACATCTCCTGTCTCCTTGCTCTAGTGGGTCAGGTGGATTCAACTCGGAAATGAGGGTCCTTCAAGTAACAGGGAGGGAGCCACTACAGAGAAGGCCCTTCTCCTGGGTCCCACCAGATGGACCTCCTCAAGAGAGGGGACTTGTTACGTCCCCTGCCTCCCTGCTCTGGCGGGCCAGGGGGATGTCATTGGGAAATGAGGGTCCTTCAAATAACAGGGAGGGAGCCACCACGGAGAAGGCCCTTCTTCTGGGTCCCGCCAGATGGACCTCCTCAAGAGAGGGGGCCCATAACATCCCCTGCCTCCTTGCTCTAGTGGGTCAGGTGGATACAACTGGGAAATGAGGGTCCTTCAAGTAACAGGGAGGGAGCCACCACGGAGAAGGCCCTTCTTCTGGGTCCCACCAGATGGACCTCAGGAGAGGGGACCCATTACATCCCCTGCCTACACCCTCTGGTGGATCAGGTGGATACAACTGGGAAACGAGGGTCCTTCAAATAACAGGGAGGGAGCCACCACGGAGAAGGCCCTTCTCCTGGGTCCCATCAGATAGACCTCCTCAAGAGGGGACCCCTAACATTCCTTGCCTCCTTGCTCTAGTGGATCAGGTAGATACAACTGGGAAACGAGGGTCCTTCAAATAACAGGGAGGGAGCCACCACAGAGAAGGCCCTTCTCCTGGGTCCCACCAGATGGACCTGCTCAAGAGAGGGGGCCCATAACGTCCCCTGCCTCCCCGCTCCGGCGGGCCAGGGGGATGTCACTGGGAAAAGAGGCACCCTTACCGAGTGACTGCTGCTTCTCCTGCGAACCGCTCCTCTTGCTGCTAGAAGACTGCTCCTTCTGGTTCGCAACCGGCTCTGCCAAGAAAAGGGGCACGTTTAGGTTCTCGCTCTGCTCACCGGGCGGTTCGCGGCTGTCCGCTATCGGGGCCGATCCCCTTCCTACCTGTCGGCGGCTGCTTGCAACCTGAATCGGTTTCCGCTACTGGGTCTGTCTGCTCCACGCCTCGCCCTTCTTCTTCTTCTTTAGACTCCAGCTCAGCCTTTTCCCTACCTAGGTCCACCTCCTCTTCTGCTTTGGGGTTCTCACTCGGAGGATCCTCCGGCTGGTCTGCCGACGCCTTCTCTTCCGGCAGCTCATCCCTCGGAGCGCTCTCCCTCGGCTCCGGCAAGGGGGCGGCCGGAATTTTAAAGTTTTCTAATGTGGCAGAAAACGGGACGTCCCGGTCGGCTTCTTCCTCCGGTGCGGTTTTGGTGGATTCTTTCAATTTCCTGCCGGTAGACAGGCCGGGTTTCTCTTCCTCTTCCTCCTCTTCGCTGCCCACCTCGTCCACAGTAACAAAGCTGAACTCTTCCTTCAGGCGGTTAAAGTCTTCCAGGAAGTCCTCGTCTTCTTCGGTCACCTCGTCTAGCGTCACCAAGGGCTGGTCGTCGCTGTCCTCGTGGATCTCGTCCACCGTGACTAAAACGCTGGGGTCCTCCGGGATCTGGGAGGAGAGAAAATCCCCAGCCGGCTCGGCCCCGGCCTTCCCCTCTTCCTTGCCTTTGAGCATCTCCTCGTCCTTGAAATGGGACGGCTCGTTCAGCGGAAGCTCCTCCACCTCGCCGATCTCGTCCACCGTCAACAATGGCTCCGTTTTCAGGTCCGGCTCGCTCTCCCCGGAGGCAAAGGGCTCCTTGGCCATCTCCGGAGGAGCGACGTCCTCCTGCTCGGAGATCTCGTCCAGGGTCACCAGCGACTGCGGGTCTTTCATGTCCTCGTCGATCAGCTCCTCCTCTTCGTTGACTTCGTCCACCGTGACCAGACCCTGGTCGTCGGTCATGGCTTCCAGGTTCAGGAGCTCCACCTGGCCCATCCCGCCTTCGTCTTCCCCGATTTCATCCAAGGTCACGAAGGAGACCTCGGTCTCGACCGCCACCGCCGCCGCCTTGGCTTTCTTTCTCTTGGAGCTGGGCTCCCCGGGGACGCTCTTCTTCGGCGGGTCCTTCCTTTTGCCCCTTACGGGGTTCCTTCGAGGCTGAGGAGACTCCACTTCGTCGACCACTTCGTCCATGGTAACAAACTCGTCCAAATTAAACGGGAAAAGCTCCTCCTCCTAAAAAAAAAAAAGAAGAAATAAAAGGGGGGGGGGAAGCCAGAGTTTTACACCGTTCGATATTTGTAAATGACGTAGAGAAACACCTGATTGTGGCAGATATTAAAAGTAAAGACAAAGTAGGCAACGAGTCCTTCTTTAGAAGAATGGATATTTAAAGTTTCTAACTTTGCAGGAAATGGCAAAAAGTTCTGCTTATTTGAAGGATCATACCACAAGAAAGATATATTATTGTATGGAGAAGATGGATAGATTATATTCAGAAAAAATATGGGGCTATAAAGTTTCATTTATTTTATGAGTAAATTTTATAGTAACTGTTGTAGAGATTTGTTTATATGTCTTAATTTAAGGGGAGTTAAAGGTTAAGTATGATGGTTTTTTTCTTTTTTTTCTTTTTTCTTTTATTATTGTTAACCTTCTTATTAATAACCCTGTACTCTGCTCTGGGAAGCAAGGGGGAGAAGGTTGAGGGTGGGTGGGTGGGTAATGATAATATAGTCATGGTAAATGCTTGGGCATTTCCCCTATGCTGCGTTCATGTGCGTGAGAGGGATGAGAAGGGAGGAAGGAGTAGGGAGGAAGTAGGATGGTTAGAGGAGATGGGGAGGGGAAGAGAGTAGGAGGGGAGGAGAGAAAGAGGAGGGAAGTAGGGAAGGTTTAGAGAGGGTGGACGCAGCCTGGGGGGAAGGGGCAGGCGGTACCAATGGTTAATTGTATTTTGTATGAATAAATGGAAAATAAAAACTTTTTAATAATAAAAGTAAAGACAAAAGGAAAAAAGGGAAGCATGATGGAAACACAGGGGATGCTTTAGAACAGGACTAGGCAACTATGACAACTTTACTACCTGTGGACGTCAACTCCCAGAATTCCACAGGAGGTGAAGTTGCCACAGTTTGCCCACCCTGGCTTTCGAAGGCGATCTGGATTGAAGGAGATCTTTCATAGGTTCAAGGAGGCATATAAGCCGCTTGCTTGTCATTTTCAGAGTCTGTTTCTGTCCACATTTTAACGGTCAAGAGCCAGTTAGGGTGTCACGGCTCAAAACAGGGAGATCCAGATTCTGCCTTGGGTGTGAAACCAACTGGGGGGCCTTGGGCCAGTACCTCTTGCTCAGCCCTGGGAAGGAAGAAATGGCAAACCACTTTTTTTTAAAAAAACCTGGGCCAGAAAACTGCAGGAGTCAAGATTGATTTGCAGGCTGCCCTCTCCCAAAAGTTAATTGCTAAAAAAAAAAAAGAACTCCGGAGTGGAATATGCACAGATCTGGGCAAGTCACTTTCACCCAACTGTCAAAATTCACTTTTCAGGAAAAAATTTTTCCTTAGAAGTAGCTAACAGTGAAGTTAAAAGAGTAGGGGATCCTTAATTCTTAATCGCCGCGTTAACAATTTGGACTCACGTTTTGGCAGGTTTAGGGCGGGGGTCTTCAAACTTGGCCCTTCGATGACTTGTGGACTTCAACTCCCAGAATTCCTCAGCCAGGCACGTGTGCCTGGCTGAGGAATTCTGGGAGTTGAAGTCCACAAGTCATCGAAGGGCCAAGTTTAAAGACCCCTGGTTTAGGCATATAGTCAGTAACTTCTTTAAAAAGATAGCTGGGGAATTCCAGCCCACCAGTCTTCAAGCTTGGATTCCCCGGCCTTAAAGTCATTCCCACGTATCGATACCCTGGGTTACAAGAACCGTGTTCATTGGCTTGCTTACCTCTTTGGGTTTGGGAGTGCTTTTAGAGGCTCTGGTATTTCTCCCAGCAGACACCTGGGGAGGAGAAGTTGAAAAGACGGTGAGCGCTTCAGGCTGAGGCCTGGCGGGCACCATTAAACCAGCAGGTCAGAGAAAGCGGTATTCTTTTACACGCCACAAGTTGAAACCATGCCAATCGTTTCTAAGACCCGAGTACTCAGCGCTCCAACAGCTTTTGTGGGTAACTTATCTGACTCCGGGATGGTCGAGTCTACGCGAAGCAGTCGGGGTGCCTCACGAGAAGCCGCGCCTCGCAAACAGGGGAGTCTCAGGAACCACCGCGGAAGGAAGGAAAGCAGGAACGAACACACACACCGCGTGTCCGCTCGGAAACTGCACTGTGAAGAGCCGGCTCTTTCCTCCCTTCCGCCAAACGCGTCCAGAGTCAAGCGTTTCCAAAGGCACCTCCCCGCCGGCGCGGCGTGCGTGGCACCACCGGACGCAGCCGCGTACAGGGGCAGGGAGGGGACGGGGACTCGCTCAAGGTCTGGAAGAAGCGTCAAGGTTAGGGGCCAGCCAGTGCTTTATCCCCTCCTCACCTTATTGCCGCCGGCATCCCGCTTGAGGGTGGAGGTTCTACTTTCTGGCTCCCGGCTCTGCTTCGGACTCCCCTTGGTCTCCGCCGGGGGGTCCTTCTCTTGCTGCGAGGAGCTCTTCCCAGGGCCTAACGCAACCACCACCACCGAACTCGTGCTTAGCTTAGATTTGGCGCTATCTGGGCCGACGCTGGGCCGACCGTTTGCGGGCCTTTGTTGACTCGGCTGTTTCGGCGACGGCGTCTTCTCAGCCGGCCCTTGGCTCTTGGGGACCGGCTTGCCGGCCGGCTTCTCCTCTTTCCTTCGAGCCGTGAGTCTCGACGCCTTGGATGGGTTCGAAGCCTTCGGGGCCGTTTTGCCGAGCGAAGCGGCCTCTGGGTTGGCTGCCGTCTCTGCCTCCGGCGTGCTCGCTTTGCCGGATTCCTCGGCTTCGGTTTGTCCCGGCCCTTTACCCTTTGGTGTCTTTGGCACAACGTGCTCGGGGTGCTGCACCTTGGTGCTCTCTCCTGGGGTCTCTTCTGGTTGTTTGAGTTCTTCGGTGCCTAACAGCAGGTTCTCAGGGAGCTTCTGCAGGGTTACTTCAACCCTGGCCAACTGCAGCTGAAACTTTTCCTTTAGGTTTTCCTTCGTTTCCGCCCCCGCCGGCTTGGCTGCTACCTCCACCTTCGCTCGAGAGGCGGCAGGGAGGCCCCCCGACTCTTCCTCCATCTTCACTTGAACCTTGGGGGCCGGCATTTCTGCTAACCCCACGGCGGCTTCCGTACGATCGGCTTCTGGAGACGTGGGCCTGTCCCTGGACAGCGTCTCCGCGCTTGGCGTTTCCTCCAGGGCACCTTCTGTAGGGCCCGGCCCCAGGTTTGTACTTGTGCCTTCTTCCGCGGCTGAGGCCGAGAGGGCTCTGGGGGTTCCTTCTTTCGAGGCAGCGTGCGCTTCTTCCGCTTTCCCAGGAAGAGGAGCTGCCTCCTCGTTTGCCTTCCCCCCCGAGGGCGAGGCCTTTCTCGGCAATTCCTGGTCAGGGTGATCAGTCCCTTTTTCTTCCTTTTTCACAGCGGAGGTCAAAGCACGGGCGTCTTCAGCTTGCCTTTCCGACGACTCCGAATCCTCAACGGCGCTCGGAATCCCGAGCCCAAACTCTTCCTTTATCGTTTTCGCGTCTTCTTCCGAGTCTTCGGTCTTCGGGGGCTGGGGAGCTCCTGCCCCTACCGTCTTCTGGCTATCCAGGGGCTCTTTATCTGGAATAGCCTCCGAGTCTTCCATGGCCTCTGTGGGAGGAACAGCCGATGGGTGCACCCCTCCTGATCCTTCGGGAATTGTTTTCAAGTCAGGGCTAAATGTATTTAAAAAAACAGAAGAGATCAAGCTAGGTTGAGAACGCCACAGTTATTAATTACCTCTCGGGGCCAAACGGCCGGGATCTCCTGAAGCAGGATGGCTGAGGGTGGGGAGGACTTAACTTGTCTACTACCCTCGGTGTAAGCCTGGGTGAAACGCTCCTTTCTAAGTTACCTAGCATTATGGCAGGCAACCTCAGAGCTTCTTTGAAGCTGACTATGGAAATGCTGAAGATGAGAACTTGGCAGGTGGGGGGGAAAAAAAAAACATACAAACACAGAGAGAAGTTGTGCTGAGGTGGTGAGTGAGTTATTTAAACTGAAAACAGAAATATTAATAGTTTTGTCCCCAAGGAACCAAAATGAGCCAGGACACTTCCACGGGGAACGGAAATATCCACATGCAAAAGGCTGTGCTGGAGTGTGTTCCACGTGACTTAATGGCTCCCAAGGAAATCTGAATTACAAGACAAAGTACACACAGGAATTTACACAGGGATTTTTCAAAAACGTAAGCAGTTTCAACAGCTCTGGCTGAGAGTCTTATCTTGTTTATTCGTTTTCCAACTGTTTTCAGCCAAATAAATGCCTTCGGGAAATCTGTAAGGAGATCTTCCATTTCCCTCCCTCCTCCTCCTCCCCCCCCCCTTTGGGACAATCATATGCCGTTATCTACGATTTGAAGGACAGGGTCTTTAAATCCAGATTGGATGATTTAGGGAAAGGGGCTGGAGTGTCAATATCACCACAACGGATGACGACAGGACCATCAAAACCGGATCATGGACAGGAATTGTCGTTTGTACGGCCAACACAAGAAACACAAAGCGACAGAATAGTAGACAATTGTGGGGGGAAAAAAATCCTCAAGTTGTCCTCAGAATCAGTAAGAGAAACAGGAATGTACTAATTGCAAACTTTCCAGGCCTTTGTCGTCACGGGAAAAGCTGTCATAATCTTCTGCACAGAAAATAAATAAATGATAGTGGGCAGAGCCCTGCAAAACGGGGCCAATTTTACAAGATCAAGATTTTGTCGCTGACAAGAGGCTGAGAAACTGGGGTCTTTCAAATGAGGACTGGCTTTTCCAACAGCCAGAAAAGAAGAAGAGGCCACGATGAAAAACAGAAGGATGGAGTGAAGAGCGGAAGTCAGACTGACCCCATTCCGAACAAACTTACTCAAGGTTAAGTCAAAAATCTCTTTAGGCTCGGGCTGGGACTTTTGAGCTGTGCTCCTCCATTCAATGGTATCGATCTTCTAGAGGCATAGCATTCAATCCTGAGAGATATCCTTCCCAAACAAATCTTATGTAACTGTATAGATGGAAAGGGCCTGTAAGACAGTGTTAACTATAAACAGCAGTCCTGCAAGAGCAGGCTTCTAAACAAAAAGATGTTTCAAGATAAGTGTAAAATCCCCTTTCCTTTTTTTTTGCTTTTCATCAATAAAAATAAATTACACTGAATTTCTTTTTCTGCTGGAAAAAGGATGAAGAAGTTGTTCAAAGCCCATTCAATCATCTCCTTAATCAAAGAGGGTTATTACCCATAAGCACTCTACCGAAAATATTTCAAATAGCTTCCGAGGAATACGGGAATTGGACTTAATCCACTTGGGAGAAGAAGGCTATTTTAAGACGAGGGGGAGAAAAAAAAAACCTTGGTAGTCTGGATGCCTCAGAAATCCAAAAGCTTTTGAGATAATGAAGGACAACAAAACCAGCATTCGTAAGCAAGAAAAAGAGATAGCATATTGGAAAAAATATGGGAAAATCGGGAAATAAAAATAAAGCTGCAGAAACTTGACAAGTCCTCTTGATTTCCGGGAGCGTGAAAAGAGCTTATTCCGCAGTCAGGTTCAGACACTATTGAGGAACTGAACGAAAAGGACAATCCAGTTTGGAAGTCAAAGGACAGCATCCAGCTTAACAGAGTAACGGAGCGGGGAGGGACCTTGAAGGTCTTCTAGTCCAGCCCCCTGCTCAGGCAGGAGAGCTTAGACCCATTTCAGACAGGCGGCAGTCCAGTCTCTTCTTAAAAGCCTCCAAGGATGGAGGATTCGTTCTTTTTCTCCACTTGAAATTCAGCCACTGTTCTGCCATTTTGATCTGCTTTCTTTTGGAAGGGGGGGGGGTAAAGGGGAAAAGTTGGCTGGAAAATTGTCGAGAGAGAGAGAGAGAGAGAGAGAGAGAGAGAGAGAGAGAGAGAGAGAGAAAGAGAAAGAGATGGAACAGAACAAAATATTCAGGACAGCTGCCAGGTCCTCTCAGTGAGAAGAGGATCTGCTCACGTTTGCATCACCTATCGTAACGGCCAGCAATGCTGGAAAGGTTTCATCAAGCCCGCCTGACCAACTGCAAAGATATAAATATGGTTTCCCCAAATACTGTTGATAAGAACGAGGCACAAGAACAATGAGCTTTCTCTCTGCGTTCTGTAGCTTGGAAGGTTTTCTGGCTTTCATCTCTTCTCAGCATTAAGAAGCACCTTATTTATAACAGGATGTCCAACTTCGGCCACTTGAAGCCCTGTGGACTTCGACTCCCAGAATTCCCCAGCCAGCTTTGCTGGCTGGGGAATTCTGGGAGTCGAAGTCCACAGGGCTTCAAGTGGCCCCGGTTGGACACCCCTGCTTTATAAGTTAACACAGAGTTTCTTCCACTTTAAATGGAAATGTCTGAAAAGATAATTTAGAAAGTAACACCTTGGAGCATCTAACAGCCGTACTGCTCCCTCCCTTTGACAGAACAGGTAGAAAAAGACAAAATAAAACACGGAGCTGTTTAGGAAGAGTCACCCTGGAGCCCCCGCCATTTCACCCAGAAATTCAAACATTTTCTGATGGGAAAAGAGACCACCGTGCCCATGCCAGTCTTCTCCATAGGCAACGTGCAGAGACCACCAACAACTCAAGAGGCTGGATGTGTATAAGTAAGTACTCTAAAAACAGTATTTTATTAGTTGTAATAAAATGAAATAAAATACACAAAACCTGCTCCAGGTCTACATCATTATATAGTTAGCGAATTCCATGGATATCGTTTCCAAAGGTTTTGGTTGCCTAAAGTACATTTATTTTAAAGGTGTATCTACAATATATATCGATAGATAGGTAAATTATATTCATGTGTCTAGAGTCAGCTAGGGAAAAGATGGGTTTGGGGTTACAAAGGCCGTTTTGAAAGGAAAATATCCCTTCATCGTGCATTACAATATCTTTGCTCCTTCACTGGTCTATTTATAAATATGTAAACGAAGTCCCAATACAGCTATTTGAATTTTGTGTTGCCTCTCCGTGGTTTGTCGTGTTTCAACCCCAGAACGTAATTTAGCACTTTGCACATTTTAGAGCAGTGGTTCTCAACCTTTTTAATGCCGCGACCCCCCCCCCCATCCGGTCGTAAGTCGAGGACTACTCAACCGGTCGTTAAGTCGAGGACTACTCAACGGGTGCAGCCCCGTTTGCAGAATGGGACTTTTGGCGGGCTCAGCAGGGCAGAGACAGCCTGGACAATTCCTATTGGCTTTTGAAAGCCAATAGAATGAGACTCTATTCAAGAGAGTCTCTTCTCTTGGCTTTCAAAAGCCAATAGAATAAAAGGGAGTAGCACAGCTAAGGAAAAGAGGGGGAAAAATGGCGGACTGCGTTGTTTGGTGACCCCCGTGCAATGGTCGTTCGACCCCAAATGGGGTCCCGACCCACAGGTTGAGAACCGCTGTTTTAGAGGTTGTTACCTCCTGGGTCACATGTCCCAGGTCCCAAGCCAACCAACTCAGAAAAATGAACCACGTTAACAGGAGGTGAGAAAAGGCACCAGGATTTAAAAAGCACTGGCCCTCAAAAATACAGGTCGGATGCCCGCAACAATTATACGTGCTGGTGTCACTCCTCAGGGCTCCTCTGTGTACCAGGAACAAAAGACAACTGAGACGGACGGATCTACATGCATGCATGCATTCAAAAACCCATTTATTCTTTCAACTGCTGTAGTTTCATGCTAGGTGCAGAAAGGGGCAAAGGAATGAGGGAAGCGGCAGGGGTCGGTTCTAAAAAGCCAGAAATCAAGGCTTTGCACTAAAGGGGAAAATGAGAATTATGTTTGTTTCGTATTTCAATCTCTCGCATCCCATCCCCACACCCATCCTCTCTCTCTCTCTCTTTCTCTCTCTCTCTCTCTCTCTTTCTCTTTCTCTCTCTCACACGCACCCACTTGGGATATCAATGAAAAAATACCTCTCTTGGCTTGCTTCTTGCGTTTTCTCTTCTTTCTTTACAGCATCGGCCTGTTAAAAAAAGTTCAGCTTTTTTTTTTTAATTATAAATTTTTACAATTTTACAATAAAAAACCCCTTCCCCAATCCCTCCCAACCCTCCCCAAAACCCTCCCCCCTTCTTCCCAGAGCTGAATACAGGGTTAACTAGAACTTAAAAGGAAAAACTTTTAAACTCAAATAAACCTCAAACAAATATAATTACATTCAATAAATGAATTATTAAGTACTTTAACCCCATTATGTATGAAAAACAGAAAGAGAAAAAGAAGAAAAGAAGAAGAAAAAAACCTTCTTCCAATACTATCCTATTAACAACCAAAAAAAGTTCAGCTTTTTGATATGCAAGAAACAATATCGCAACGTGACGGCCTAAACCAGTGATAGCAAACCTTTTAGAGACCGAGTGCCCAAACTGCAACCCAAAACCCACTTATTGATCACAAAAAGCCAGGGCCGCATCAGCATTGTGGTGCCCTCGGGGGGCGGGAGGGGGGGGAGGAGGTGCCTCTGAGTGCCGCCTCTGGTACAGAAAAACCAGGGGCGCAAAAATGGGCCACTGTGCCGCAAGGCACAAAAATGGCTGCTGCTGCTGCTTCGCAGTATGCAGATACAAGGCGCTGCACCATGCAAGAACAGGGCAGGGCTAGTGAGTATCATGCAGGCACTAGCCCTGCCCCGTTTGCAGCGTGTGCGTGCTCGCGGCCCCGTGTGCGCATGCATGCACGTAAAATGCTTCCCCCTCCCTTTTCTTCCAGTCCACCAATCGACAATGGTTGGGGACCTCTGCTCTACCACCTCTACTCCAGCTTGGTAGTCGGCCGCTTAGCCTCCTTTGTGCTGGGTGGGGCTCCTGCTCCCGATGGCGATGGCGGCCTGATGGACCTGCTGCTGGTGGCAGTGGCACGTGTGCCAACAGAGAGGGCTCTGAGTGCCACCTCTGGCAACCGTGCCATAGGTTCGCCACCACCAGCCTAAACCTAAACCTAAGGTGTCAAACTCACAACGTCACGTGATGTGTTGCGACTTTTTTCCCACTGCCGGCAATGGAGTGGGCACGGTTCCAGCATGATGGATCCGGCAGTTTGACACCCCTGGCTTAAACGCAAAAGCTGGAAAATCATTGGTAAGTTTTTACAAATTCTGGGTATAAATTCTGCAGGCTACACTTCCATTCTACCCTAATTTGCAACCCTGCTCAGAGGGTGAATTTCCAGACAGCTGTTTCTCAATCATCCTTCATCTGGCAACAACAACAACCCCAAAAAAAAAAAAAAAAAAAAAAAACCAGCTACCTGTACGCCAACAGGTTGTCATAAAAAATCACAAGCATTCTCAATATTCAGAACCATCCTAGATATTGGAAGGGCTACAAACTAATTCAAAACCAAGAGGCCAAATAAATGAAGAGGACTTACAGCTGCAGGTTCTATTCTGGGCGAGCGTGAGATCGTCAGCTGGACTTCTCCCAAACTGTAGGGATACCTTTTTAAGAAGCGACACATGGAGGCTGCTGACTCGGCGCTGTTCAGCTGGAGAACCGCCTTCAAAATTCAAAAAGGGCAGAAAATCAACACGGAAGCCTCTGGGCTTGTGGCAGAAGCGGCGTTTCTTCAAGGGGAACCTGCAAGAGGGCAGCTGCCTTCCCACCAGCCCCTTGAAAGGAAGGCTTTGTGGGAGTCTGAGGGGGCTCCCGGTTTTTCAACTCTTTAAAAAAAGTTTTTAAATACTTCAAGCATTCCTTGAACCGAGGGACAGAATGTACCGATAGCCCTCAGCTAGAGGCTAAAACATACAAAGAATGGCTGCTGGAATTGGGGATGTCTGGTTTAATGAAGAGAAGGACGAGGGGGGACAGGATAGCAGCCTTCCAGTATCTCAGGGGCTGCCCCAAAGAAGAGGGAGTCAAGCTATTCTCCAAGGCGCCTGAAGGCAGGACAAGAAGCAATGAATGGAAACTGACCGAAGAGAGAAGCAACCTGGAACTAAGGAGAAACTTCCTGATAGTGGGAAAAATTAACCGGTGGAACAACCTGCCTCCCACAGACGTTGGGCTCCCGCTTTGTAGAAAGCAAAGATCACCTTGTTCTTATTAGTTATCACCATGTAGTGATCCACTCGTCCGAAGCGGAGGCCGACGCAAAGGATTTCAAGCTCTGAGTAGCCGTCGTCTGGCAGGTTCCCCAGATGCACAAACTGGGTGTAGAGCGACTCCGTGTTCACCTGGTGGAAAGGAAAGGCAAGCTCACAAATTGGGCCGGGGGTCCTTAATTCGAGTCAACTGATCCTTTGGAAGACTCCTCCTCAGTTTAACCACAAGCCCAGCCTATTTTCCGCCTTCTTCCAGGGAAGCACAGGACTCAAGAGGAATCTGCCGCTTCTCCCAACTCTTTTCCATGATTAAAGCCGTTATTGTGGTTTTTTGTTGTTGTTAGTTGCGAAGTCGTGTCCGACCCATCGCGACCCCATGGCCAACGTTCCTTCAGGCCTTCCTGTCCTCTACCATCTTCTGGAGTCCATTGAAGCTCATGCCTCCTGCTTCAGGGACTCCATCCAGCCACCTCCTTCTCTGTTGTCCCCTTCTTCTCTTGTCCTCCATCTTTCCCAACATCAGGCCCTTCTTCTCCAGGGAGTCCTTCCTTCTCATTAGGTGGCCAAAGGACTTGAGTTTCAACTTCAGGATCTGGCCTTCTCAAGAGCAGTCGGGGTTGATCTCCTCTAGGACTGATCGTCTTGGTTGTCATCACACAATTACTTTTGAAGTGGTACCAAGGCCGAAGACACTCTACACTACACTGTCCACCTTAAATCAGGATGCTAGTTTCCTGCTGCTTATATCCTCAACGTGCAATTACGTTTTTAATCAATGCTTTCCAGACACATCCATTCTTCACAGGAGATGGACTATTTCACAGTCTCCCCCCCACCGGCAAAAAAAAAAAAAAAAAACTGTTTTGCTATTTTTGTAGCCCCTTTCTCTACCCCAAGGGCCCAGCCAGACATGTCAAACACAAGGTCTGGGGCCGGATGCGGCCCACGAAGTGGTTTCACGCGGCCCGCAAAGCCATCCTGGAAACAGTGAGGGAACAGCCCCTGCTGCCTTGGCCCTGGCCCAGGTCGGCCGGGAGCCAATGTACAATTTTGTGGTGGCCATCTATGCTGAAACACATTCAGTCTTAGCTCCACAAGGCTGTCTGGAAACAGCGAGGGACCGGCCCCTGCCGCGTCGCCCCCGCCCCCTGAGTGCATGCTGGGGAGGGGTCACCCTTTGTGAGGAATAAAGAAATGGACTATGCCTTGGCGCTTGCCCGTCCCACCCTCTTCTGCCAGAGACCCTCAGATCTCTGAGATGGTGCAGCAGTTAGGGTGCAGTACTGCAGGCCACTTTAGCTGACTGTGTTCAGCAGGTCAGCGGTTCAAATCTCACCGGCTCAAGGTTGACTCAGCCTTCCATCCTTCCGGGGTAGGTAAAATGAGGACCCAGATTGTTGGGGGCAATGTAAATATATATTTACCTCAGAAAACAAATATATATATATATATGTGTGTGTGTGTGTGTGTATACATACACACACACACACATATACATACACACACACACACACACATACACATATATACATACACACACACACACACACACACACACACACACACACACACACACACTGCTTACTGGTGTACACCGCTTAGAGAGTCCTTGCACTTAAAGCGGTATATAAGCCTCATAAATAAATAAATAAATAAATAAATAAATCTGTCCCACTCCTGCCCAGGCCCCCACGGGCACCCTTGATGCGAACGATGTAGAGCTGGCCATGCCCACCCAGTAGGCCACACCCACTCCAGCCACACCCACCCAGTAGGCCGCACCCACGCAGCCCCCCCCCCCAGGGCAACTGCAATGCTGATGCGGCCCTCAATGAAATTGAGTTTGACACCCCTGGCCCTGACTGAGTAACAACACATTAAGGAACAACTCTGGTTACTTACATCTGGATTGGCATCTTTAATCATCGCAGTAAATATCATTTCCTAAAAAGGGCCAAGAAAATTTAGGCGATTAGAAGACGGTGTTTATCGTTTTACAAAGTCTCCCTTAATCACCCATCTTCTGCTGGCAATCTTCTTAATTTGTCAACTCCCGGGTCCAAGTCAGGGTGCTGGCTGTCACCTTCAAAGCCCTACTTGACCTGGGACTAGGTTCTTTGAAGGACCATCTTTTCCCAGTTCCATCCACCTGACTCACCAGAGTGGGGAGGCAGGGGATGGTGCAAGTCCCCCCCAAGAAGGGCCTTCTCCGTGGTGGCTCCCTCCCTGCACCTCATCATTCCTGCGGAGGTAAAATTGGCCCCTACTTTGACACTCTCTTGTAAGACCCTGAAGATGTGGTTCTGCCAAAGGGATTGGGGACCCCCAGGGCGATACAGAGCCCAACAAGAGCTGATTTAATTGTCGCCATCAGAGATATGTGTGTGTGTGTGGGGGGGGTGTTATTGCTTTTTTATTGTTCTTGTATTAGGCTTTTATTCTTGTAAGGCACCCGAAGTCACTGAGAGTAACTCAAGTGGACATATACATTTTCTTAGGTAAGTAAATACCTTTTTTCCACAGCTTTCCCTCTCACTCACCTTCCCATTTTCCTGTGACATATACTACACCCCAAGAGTATAACCACAATTTACAACTGACGAAAGAAGCCAAGAAGTGTTACTGGACAATCAGGAGCCGGCAAACAATTCTGTCCTCTTCAGTCGTTGCAATTCACTACGCCTAGCTAGATATTTAGGAGCAATGAGGGAGCTGGGTAACAAAGAATCTTCTAGTTCTGCCTTCCCCAACCTAGTAGTTCTATTGATATAAAGCAGGGGTAGGCAACCTTGGCTCTTTTATGACTCGTGGACTTCAACTCCCAGAATTCCTGAGCCAGCATGGGGGAACTATGCCTCCCTTCATGACTGTGGAATTCAACTCCCAGAATTCCTGAGCCAGCATGGGGGAACTATGCCTCCCTTCATGACTGTGGAATTCAACTCCCAGAATTCCTGAGCCAGCATGGCTCACCTTGGAAACCTCTCCCTTTCCCCTCAGCATGGCTGGCTCAGGAATTCTGGGAGTTGAAGTCCACGAGTCATAAAAGAGCCAAGGTTGCCTACCCCTGATGTAAATTATTAACCACCTTTTGTTTAATTTATTCTTTAACAAACACTTAAGAACAGTCGCCCTGGGGCAAGACGGCCAGCAAATAAATGTAATAAATAAAATTTCACTGACCTCATTTAGATCCTTCAGCTCAGGGACCAGAGAAATGCAGAGCTGGTTCCTTTCCACCCACATTGGGAAGCAGGTATAAAACTTCACCATGGAATCTGCAGATTTGCGACTTATTTCTATGTATGCCTTTTTAAAAATAAAATAAAATAAAGGAGGAGGAGGGAGGAGGAGGAGGAGGAGGAGGAGGAGGAGGAGGAGGAGGAGGAGAGGAGGAAGAAGAAGAAGAAGAAGAAGAAGAAGAAGAAGAAGAAGAAGAAGAAGAAGAAGAAGAAGAAGAAGAAGAAGAAGAATAAGAAGAAGAAGAAGAAGAAGAAGAAGAATAAGAAGAAGAAGAAGAAGAAGAAGAAGAAGAAGAAGAAGAAGAAGAAGAAGAAGAAGAAGAAGAAGAAGAAGAAGAAGAAGAAGAAGAAGAAGAAGAAGAAGAAGAAGAAGAAACAACTGTTATCAATGACCGGAACCCAAATGACTTCTTTGTTTCAAATGTTGGCACTGGGTGGAAAAATGCATCGTTCCCAATCATTAATTAATAAAGAACGAATCAAATATATCCCCCCCCCCTTTCTAACACCTTGTACACATTGTTCAGTACCTTTTTATGCGAAGACACAATTAAAATATCTTTGACTTTCCCAAAGGGCTTGGTTAGGTTTCGGATCTCCTCCAGACTCAGCCCGGCCTCGGGGAAACTGGAGATCATCACGACACACATCTCTTCTGCGTCCTGGGGAAAACGGAAACAGCAAATCGGAATCTTTATTGGGCAAGTTTAACATTCCCCTGCCGTTTCCCGCTTCCCGCCTTGAGGACCTGCCCAGCGGTGGGACTTTCCAACCGCAATGAAGGAGGAGGAGACAAGGTTACCTTGTTGGCAGATTCCACCACTTCAGGACTCTCCACCGCTTCTGACTTATCTGTAATTTTTTTTAAAAGAATTTTTTTTTAAAAAAAAAAATTAAACAATTCTTACTGGTTGAAGAGTTACTCGGGAGAGCTATTAACAGTGGTTCTCCACCTGTGGGTCGGAACCCCATTTGGGGTCGAACGACCATTTCACGGGGGTCGCCAAACAACGCAGTCCGCCATTCCCCCCCCCTTTTCCTTAGCTGTGCTCCTCCCTTTTATTCTATTGGCTTTTGAAAGCCAATAGAAGAGATTCTCCTGAATAGAGTCTAATTCTATTGGCTTTCAAAAGCCAATAGGAATTGTCCAGGCTGTCTCTGCCCTGCTGAGCCCGCCAAAAGTCCCAGTCTGCAAACGGTGCTGCATCGGTTGAGTAGTTCCCGACTTACGACCGGTTGAGTAGTCCTTGACTTACGACCGGTTGGGGGTCGCGGCATTAAAAAGGTTGAGAACCACTGAGCTGTTAAGATTCCTCAGGGGAGCAGGAATTCATGGTATATTCTGCTCATTCTATAGCTGTGTTGTTTTTTCTCAACCGTAGTCATTTGAAGGCCCTTTGATGACTTGTGGACTTCAACTCCCAGAATTCCCCAGCCAGCTGAAGTCCACGTTATCTTAAACGTGCCCGATGTTCAGAAACGCAGCTCTTACAGACTTGGGTTTGTTCACCTTCACACCCTTCCAAGATGGAGGGACTTCAATTCCCACAACTGCCGGCTAGCAAAGTCTGGGAGCTGGAAGTCCACGCCGTCTTCCACGTTGCCAAGCAAGAAAACCACGCTCCCAGAAAATGACTTGCCTGCCCGCATACCCCGCTACCACCCTATCCACGGCTCCCGCGGAGCGGTGTCCCAAACCTCCGTGCAGAAAGCCCGGCCCAAGAGACCCTCCAAAGGGTCTGCCCTGGATGAGGCCACCGCTTCTGCCAACCGCATCTCTTCCCGCAGGAAGCGGCCTCTTGGCGCCCACTGCTGCCCGCCTTGCCCCTCCCGCCAACTGACGGAGGCTCCAAAGGGGGACGGGTCCCAGTGCCCACCTCAAGGGGGCTACAGAGACAACCTTAGGGACCAGCTGGGAAGCCCCCTAAGGAAGCTGGGAAGTTGCAGCTGGCAGGGCCTTTTCTGCGGTGGCTCCGAAGTGGTGGAATCAACTCCCCCCCCCCGAGATTCGAACTACTCCCACCTTGCCGGCCTTCAAGAAAGCCATTAAAACTCTCCTGTTCCGGCAGGCCTGGGGTTGGGGGGGGGGGGGGCGGAGGATACGATTGGAACATGCTATATGAATGCACTCCTTTTTATTGTTATATTTATTGTTTTAATTTTGAGTCCCTAGGGATTGGGCGGCATATAAATTTTATTAATAAGTAAATAAAATAAAATAAAATAAAATAAAATAATAAATCTATCTGCCCACAGTGGAGGAAAGGTTACCTGGGGCTTCCGCTGGCTTGCTGGGCTCCTTGGCCTGAGATTCTCCGCTGGCTTGGCTGCTCTCGCCAGCCTTCGGCTCCTTCGGAGACTCTTTGGACTCTGTTACTTTCTTCACCTTCACCGGCTCTTTGGCGTCCTTCGAGTCCCCCTCTTTTTTGGGCTCTGCAGCCTTCTTGGCCTTGGGGGGCTCGCTGGCTTTCTTGTTTTCTAGCCCCTTCTTGGCCTTCAGCGATTCTTTGGCCTTGGGATCCGTGCCCTTCTTGGCCTTGACGGGCTCCTTCGCTTTGGGTTCTCCCGCTTTCTTGCTCTTCGGCCCTCCTTCTTTGTCCTTGCTCTTCGGCCCCCCTTCTTTGTCCTTGGGCTCGGCCAGCTTCTTGGTCTTCGGAGGCTCTTTGACCTTGGGGTCGACCGATTTGGCGGCCTCCGCCACCTTTTTTCCCTTAGGGGGGGGTTTCCCCTCTTCCGAGGGGGCGGCCTCGGCGGTGTTGTTTTGTTTTACGGCTGCTGCGCCCGGTTTCTTGGCCTCTGTCGTTTTCTTGGGTTTTACGGCGGCCTTGGGCTCCCCGCTCTTTACAACTTTCCCCGGTTTCTTCGTATCGGTTTTCGCTGTGGTCAAATAAAGCACCGGTCGTTAGGGGGGGGGGAACAACACATTCCTGGGAACACGCCACGACATCGGTGTTTTTCAAACACGGCAACTTTTAAGATGCGTAAGCTGGAGGGTTCTGGGAACGGAAAGTCCAGGCGGCTTCAAGTTGCCACGTTTGAAAAAAGATTGCATGAAATCGACCGATGGGATGCCTGGGCAGATTAAAGACGAAAATATCCACCCTAAAAACATTAACACGCTGGTCAGAGGGAGATGCAAGCTGGAAGTAGTAAAGAGGAATTTCCTGACAATGAGAACGATTAATCAGAGAAACAGCTTGCCTCCTGGAGTTGTGGGTGCTCCATCGCTGAAGGTTTTAGAGAAGAGACTGGAGAGCCATTTGTCCAGGCAGGGGTAGGCAACCTTGGCTCTTTTATGACTGGTGGACTTCAACTCCCAGAATTCCTGAGCCAGCCATGCTGAGGGGAAAGGGAGAGGTTTCCAAGCTGAGCCAGGCTGGCTCAGGAATTCTGGGAGTTGAAGTCCTTCAGTCATAAAAGAGCCAAGGTTGCCTACCTCTGGCCTAGGCCTAGGCCGCTTCATGACTGGTGGACTTCAACTCCCAGAATTCCTGAGCCAGCCATGCTGAGGGGAAAGGGAGAGGTTTCCAAGCTGAGCCAGGCTGGCTCAGGAATTCTGGGAGTTGAAGTCCTTCAGTCATAAAAGAGCCAAGGTTGCCTACCTCTGGCCTAGGCCTAGGCCGCTTCATGACTGGTGGACTTCAACTCCAGAATTCCTGAGCCAGTGTGGCTCAGCTTGGAAACCTCTCCCTTTCCCCTCAGCATGGCTGGCTCAGGAATTCTGGGAGTTGAAGTCCACCAGTCATAAAAGAGCCAAGGTTGCCTACGCCTGGTCTAGGAAGAACCAAACAGAACAATGGAACAGAACAGAAAGGAACAGAACAGAATAAGAAAGTGGGAAGGGATCTTGGAGGTCTTCTAGTCCAACCCCCTGCTCAAGCAGGAGATCCTATAGAGATGGGAGAGGAGGAAATACTCATAAAAGAGCCAAGGTTGCCTACCCCTGGCCTAGGGTCTCCTCCCTTGGGCTGGACTAGAAGACCTCCAAGGTCCCTCCCAGTCTTATCAATCTATGATTTTCTTATTACCAACTACAAATAACCAAACGTCAGCAAAATGAACCCCTTCTGCCAACGTTGGCCACTTTGTATTAACCCCAAAAGTCTGATCCTCTAGCGCAGGGGTAGGCAACCTTGGCTCTTTTATGATATGTGGACTTCAACTCCCAGAATTCCTGAGCCAGCCTGGCTCAGCTTGGAAACCTCTCCCTTTCCCCTCAGCATGGCTGGCTCAGGAATTCTGGGAGTTGAAGTCCACCAGTCATAAAAGAGCCAAGGCTGACTACCCCTGGCCTACAAACGTCAGCAAAATGAACCCCTTCTGCCAACGTTGGCCACTTTGTATTAACCCCAAAAGTCTGATCCTCTAGCGCAGGGGTAGGCAACCTTGGCTCTTTTATGATATGTGGACTTCAACTCCCAGAATTCCTGAGCCAGCATGGCTCAGCTTGGAAACCTCTCCCTTTCCCCTCAGCATGGCTGGCTCAGGAATTCTGGGAGTTGAAGTCCACCAGTCATAAAAGAGCCAAGGCTGACTACCCCTGGCCTAGCACTAATTGTATGAATCACCACTTTGCAGGATCGCTCTCCCCAGGGACAGTTCCTAACAACTGGGCTGCTGGTCTGATCTCCGAGCTTGGCGATGTGGCTGCAAACATTTCGGCTCCATTCGTGTGTGTGTGTGTGTGTGTGTCCGTCCTCTTCAGTGAAGAGGTTGCTCCCCCAAACGAAGCCACATCGCCAAACTCGGAGATCAAATCAACAGCCCATCTTATCATCCTGAGCTACTAATATCCAAACACATCTCCGTTCCTCACAATCTCTGCGCAGCCCCCTTTTGTTTCAGCCCCTTCCCAAGCAGCCCCTCGTCACCAAACCGCCTGGTTGGGGTTTAAGAAAATATTAGATATTTGGGGTTGAAGATTCAGGAAAACACACGGGCACATAGAAGAGAATAGCTTAAAAAAATGGAAAACTCACAGGCGGCGGAGACCAGGGTCTCTTTACTCTTCATCTTTACCACAGGCGCAACCTGCTCTTTCCTAAAAAGAAGAAAATAACAGTTGGATTCATTTCCATTCACCCTCCGGGAAGCTCACATCCACAAGTTGAGCGGGAGCATTTGGGAATCCAGAGTAGCTCATTGTCTTACTTATTATTCAGGGCAGGATCCTTGACATTCTGCGCGACTTTCTTCTCGTTTCCTTTGCTCTGAAAATAAGAGGGACATTTAGGCTCTGCAAAACAATGCGGCTTCTTGTTTTGTATTTAATAATGTAGTATTTTGAGAAGGTGCCCCTTGATTTTTGCCAAAAGAAACACACACACACACACACACACAAACAAAAAGTAGCTCACCTATTCAAAAATCAACTCTTGGGTTTTCGACAGCTAAACCAAAGTATCTCTACACCAGGTGTAGGCAATGGTGGCCCCTTTACAACCTGTGGACTTTCACGCTGGCTCAGGAATTCTGGGAGTTGGAAGTCCACAGGTTGTAAAGCTTTGCCCACTCCTGCTCTATACAGACAACCCTCGGCTTACAAAGCTAACTGAGCCCATATTTCTATTGTTAAGCAAGACATGTGAGTTTTCCCCCCGTTTTACGACTTCTCTTGCCACAACAGATCTCTGCTTACCTGAGTAGAAGCCACTTTGGGTTTTTCTGCAACACTTATCTTCACCCGCTTGCCATTAATAAGGACGGGAGATGTTTCGTTGAATTTGACAGCTGCTATGACTGCTTCCTTGTAGTTCATTTCAAGATAAGCCTAAGAAAACAAAGTGCTTTTTTATTTAAAATCCTGCCTGTGTTTTATTTCAGTTACATACTAGCTTCCTATTCCAAGGACAGAGATAACTAGCAATAATTAAAATGCAGTATGCAAACACTAAAGACCAGTCAAAGTGAGAATTATTTATCAAGAAAAAAAAAATATAAAACCAGTATCTAAGACAGTGGTTCTCAACTTTTTTAATGTCGCGACCCCCAACCAGTTGTAAGTCGAGGACAACTCAACCGGTCACAAGTCGAGGACTACTCAACTGGTGCAGCCCCGTTTGCAGAATGGGGCTTTTGGCGGGCTCAGCAGGGCAGAGACAGCCTGGACAATTCCTATTGGCTTTTGAAAGCCAATAGAATTAGACTCTATTCAAGAGAGTCTCTTCTATTGGCTTTCAAAAGCCAATAGAATAAAAGGGAGGAGCACAGCTAAGGAAAAGGGGGGGAAATGGCGGACTGCGTTGTTTGGCGACCCCCGTGAAATGGTCGTTCGACCCCAAATGGGGTCCCAACCCACAGGTTGAGAACCACTGATCTAAGATATTAAAACTGTAACAAGAAGAGCTAAAAGAATAACAATCATGGGGTCCTTGCTGCTGTGTGTGCTGGGCTGTTTTCTTGCAGATATTTCAATTACCCAACTAGGTCACGTCGTCAGTGCTAGGACCATTCTTGCTTCCGTTATCTTCAATTGTTTGGGTTATTTCTTGCCTCTTTTTTGTATTTTGCACAACACTGCTTATCCTGAAAGTGAACAGTCTACTGGCAACAAACAGAAACTTAACCTTGAATTTTCCTGTGGTAATACAACCATTCAAACATACCCACCCTAATGTATCTTTGCAAAAAAAAAAAAAAAAAGCGCGCATTTCAGCAAATTAAAACACATTAAAAATGTAAGAAGTTGCTTACCTCATGCTTACAACGGTCAACCAGGATGTCACTAACTTTTCCGAAAGGCTGAACTATTTTCTTAATGTCCTGATCTGTAAAACCATCTTCTGGCAATTCAGATATTTGAAGAATAGTCCCCAGACTCCTGGGTTTACTCCAAAACTGCAAATAATTTTTTTAAGTAAATTTGCGTGATTTCTCACATTTAATCTCTCACATACAAATACCATGAAACACAATATAGCTAATTTACAGCTGTAAATTAATTACAGCTAATTTAAAATAACCTAACAGCAGGACAACAATGGTCAAAATCTACAAAGCACATCCTCTAAAAATCTACTGAAAGAACCTCAGACAACAGTGATAAATTTACCTTCCCATAAAGCAGGGGTCTTCAAACTTGGTCCTTGGGTGACTAGTCTACGTCAACTCCCAGAATTCCCCAAATGCTGGGTGTTGAAGTCCACAAAAGTCATCCAAGGGCCAAGTTTGAAGACCCCTGCTTTAACTTGACATTAATCAAGAATGGCCCCTCACCCAGTGGCGCTGATTATGGAAGTCTGACTCTCTTCAGGCGCTCCTGTAAGGAAAAGCACCACAACCACAAAATCTATGTCCCACGATAGGAGCGTGACAGCAGCTCACGTGTCAGACCCAGCGTGCTACCCACTCTCCGATAGCCTCGTTACGAGTCCGGGAAACAGCAGACGTCCCAAGCGCTCCCAGCCAGGTCCCGTGCCTCCGTGTGCTGCACCGCCATCACAGCTACGGAGTTGGGCGCTGGGATTCCCGGAGTGGCAGCCAAGCAGGTCGTGTGACCATCCGACGTCAGCAGGAAGCACCCGGATGGTTGCCTCGTCACAATAGGGAACGAGAGGGGCCGAATTGAATAGACACTGTTCCGTTGCTGCTATGGCTAGGGGACTGTGCAGGGTCGCTGGGTCTGACAAGCATGGACGCTGGGACAGGGGACTGGGCAGTAGAGCGAAATGCTACTAATTCTGTTACGGTTATTGTTACGTTTGGGGTGGGGGACAGCGAGAGCCCAGCACTTGAAATCAATGTATTGCTAGGGCGTGGGTGTTAGCTGGGATTGGGCGTGGTGCGGGTGGAGTATAATCACGGGTAGTTATTGGGCGCGGCGCAGGTGGAGTTTAATCACGGGTGGTAATTGGGGTGTGTGCTCTGGGCATGGTGGTTTATTGTATTTAAGGCACTGGAAGAAGGTTCCTTCCAGAGGTTCCTTCCAGTGCTAACTTTGTTTCAACATAGTGAATTAAACTTGTTGGATGCTGCAACGTTCCTGTCTCCTGGCTTTTGTGAAGCACAGCTAGGACGTTCTTACATCACGTGGTTGGGATGCTGAGCTGGAGGTTAGTAAGACCGTGTTTGAGACCCGAGTTGCTGCTGCGTGGGGGTGTGAGCTCCTGTCATTCACTCCAGCTCCTTGACGTGAAAGGAGATCCCGTGGGTGGGCATGAAAGGAGATCCCGTAGGTGTCCCCCCCCCGGGCAACGGTAAAGCCACTGGCTAATCCTTTCAGCCCGGGAGCGCCTTGAAAGGTGCCAACCCACACGAATGGCACGGGGACGGGACTATCCTACGAAGACCAAAGAGCGGGACCAAATGTGGACAACCTACCTTATTCAGAGCATCTGCTTCTTTCACTGGCGCTTCGGAAGGCGGCTTCTTAGGTTTTCCCTCCGTGGCGGTTTCTTCTTTCTTGGGGCCATCAGCAGCCTCCGTGACCTTCGCCTTCGCTTCGGAGGAGCCGTGCCGGGAGTGTCCTTCTTTCTTGTGCAGTTTTGAGGGAACGGAAGGATTTCCGGTCTTCCCCTCTTCGAAGTCAGGCGATGCTTTTTTCCCTCCCGAAAAGCCCTGGCCGAAGGCTTGCTTGTGGATATGTTCCACGATGCGAGGTCCCAAGCATTTCATCACCGCTTCCAAGGCCTTATCTGGGGAAGGAAGGAAGGAAGGAAGGAAGGAAGGAAGGAAGGAAGGAAGGAAGGAAGGAAGGAAGGAAGGAAGGAAGGAAGGAAGGGGAGAGAGAGAGAGAGAGAGAAAGAAAGAAAGAAAGAGAGAGAGGGAGGGAGAGAGGGAGGGAGGGAGAGAAAGAGAGACAGAGAAAGAAAGAAAAAGAAAGAAAGAAAGAAAGAAAGAAAGAAAGAAAGAAAGAAAGAAAGAAAGAGAACGGAGGAAAGAGAAGGGAGGAAAGGAAGAATAAAGGATGGGGAGGAAAGAAGAAAGAGAAAAAAGGGAGGGGAGGGAACGAAGGAAGGAGAGCAGAAAGTAAGGTAGGAAGAAAAAGAAAGAAAGAAAGAAAGAAAGAAAGAAAGAAAGAAAGAAAGAAAGAAAGAAAGAAAGAAAGAAAGAAAGAAAGAAAGGCTTTTAAATTGATTCCTCGGCCTTGTGTATTTTAAAGACTGGGAGACCTCCTTTGAGACAAAACAAGGGGTCTCCAACATTTTTAGCAACACATGCAATGAAATAGCATGAAAATAAACCATGATCTTAAACACCGAGGGGGGGGAAAACATTTTTGGAATGAACATAAATTGTATCGAAGATGGGGAGGAACTTGCAAATCCCTACTCTCTTGAGGAGGAGTCACTGGGAAGAGTCTGGAACATGCCCAATCTGGAAAAAAATGGGTGGGAAAGGAGGATATAAGTCTAACACATTACGTTAGACCTGGGCAACTTTAAGACCAGTGGACTTCCCAGAATGCCCCAGCCAGCTTGTGCCCAGGCCCCTGCTTTGGGAACTCCATGTAGCTCCCAGATGATCTTCAAGAGAAGCTCCATGCACAGCTGAAACCTATCGTGGAGAACATTTGTAGCTCAGCACCGTCCTTGGTGCTCTCTGAGCTCCGCTGTTTTCTTGCAGACGATTCATGACCCAACCAGGTAATGTCGTCAGTGCCACTGATGAATGATGAAGCTACAGACGAACAATGCACTGATGAGGTTCCCTAGTTGGGTCATGAAAGGTCTGCAAGGAGACACCAAGGACCCCACGCACAGCTTATTGCAAGCCAACAAAGAGGTGCGTAAGGCAAAAGTAACTGTTTCCTCCTTGGCTCGTACCCAAACTGTGCAGTAAAATTTGAGGGGTCCCACGTTGTTGTGTGTCTACTTCCGCTTTCTCTGTTTTTAAGTATACAAAGTGGTGTTGTTGTTGTTTTAAAAATGAATTCTCTAAAAGTTTGCAATGAAAATGATCACCTAAGACAGTGTTTCTCAACCTTGACCATTTTAAGGCATGTGGACTTCAGCTCCCAGAATTCCACAGCCAGCAACGCTGGCTGTGGAATTCTGGGAGTTGAAGTCCACATGCCTTAAAATGGTCAAGGCTGAGAAACACTGGCCTAAGAAGGCCAGGGAACAATTAAATGCCCTTTCCCCACGCCAGTGAGTGCCCCTAAATATTCTCTCTCTTAAAATGAGTGCTGTCTTTAGTCCAGTTTTAAAATGGGATACATTTGGCTGCCTGGAGGCAAGCGTCTATCAACCACCCTCTTACCTGGAGATCGAATATACCGTCTGGACCCCCTCTCTCTGCTGGTAGACTTTTGAAACGACGAAGCGGGGTTATAAGGCCGCCACGGAGACCTTGACCTTTGTCTGAAATTGGGGGGTGGCCGTGGACTTCGACTCCTTGGCCTGCCTGGCCTGTGCCTGGGACTCCTGGATCGGGACCGGGTTCGACGTCTGGCGTGCCCAGAACTGGAACGTCTCGAACGCCTGGGGCTAATGCTGGCAGAACGCCGCCTGACCCCGCTGTTTTCATTTCTCTCGCCCTCTTGTCTAGGGACGAAGAACGATATGCATTACCTGGTGGCTTTGGTTTCATGTGAAATGGCCCTCCATACAGGGAGTCCTCACTTAACACTTATTTGTTCAACGACCCCTTGAAATGATGATGGTGCGGAATAACAAAGCAGAGGGACTTTGGAGATCTTCTAGTCTAGCCCCCTGCTCAGGCAGGGCACCCTGTTCCCATTCCAGACAAATGGCTTTCCAATCTCTTCTTAAAAGACTCCAGGGTTGAAGCACCCACAACCTCTGGTGGCAAGCTGTTCCACTGGTTAATTGTCCTCACTGACGGGAAGTTTCTCCTTAGTTCTAGGTCAGGGGTGTCAAACTCAATTTCACTGACGGCCACATCAAGCATTGTGGTTGCCCTGGGGGGGTGTGTGTGGCCAGAGTAGGTGTGGCCTACTGGGTGGGTGTGAATGGAGTGGGTGTGGTCTACTGGGTGGGCATGGCCAACTCTACATCGTTCGCGTCAAGGGTGCCCGTGGGGACCTGGGCAGGAGTGGGACAGATCTGAGGGTCTCTGGCAGAAGAGGGTGGGACCGGGGCAAGCGCCAAGGCATGGTCCATTTCTTCATTCCTCACAAAGGGTGACCCCTCCCCAGCATGCACCCAGGGGACGGGGCGACGCGGCAGGGGCTGGTTCCTCGCTGTTTCCAGACGGCCTTGTGGAGCTATGACTAAATGCGTTTCAGCATAGATGGCCGCCACAAAATTGTACAGTGGCTCCCGGCCGGCCTGGGCCAGGGCCAAGGCAGCGGGGGCCGTTCCCTCACTGTTTCCAGGATGGCTTCGCGGGCCGCATCCGGCCCCCGGGCCTTGTGTTTGACATGTCTGTTCTAGGTTGTTTCTCTTTTTGGTTAGTTTCCATCTGCTCTTTCTTGTCCTGCCTTCAGCTGCTTTGGTGGACCCCCCCTCTTCTTTGGGGCAGCCCCTCAAATATTGGAACACTGCCATCATGTCAGCCCTGGTCATTCTTTACATTAGACAAGACAAACCCGATTTTTGAAACCCTTCTTCATGTGTTTTAGTGTCCAGTTCCCTAATCAAGGGGCTTATGACCAACAGCTCAACGTTCTGGCTGTTGCAGAGCCCATGTTGGTCATGAACAAAATTCAGTCCTCTCCCCAACTGCATTTACAGCCACTTTTTAGTCACCCACCTACCCACGGCCACCAGCTGCCCCCATCACCCAGCCTCACACACCCCCATAGCCTGCTGTCCTGCAGGCCACAATTGTTTACCACCTGGCGGGCCTGCTTCACGCTGCCTCCTTTTGTGCCGGTGCCGCCAAGACTTCTCTCGCACCCCAGCCAACTGGTCTCGATCCTGCTAACTAGGACTTCCCTTTTTCAAGGGAGGCCTGGGTGAAAAAGGGCTCCGTTGGGCCCTCAGGAAAGCCAGTTCCTAGCCAGCTCTTTCTTTTGCAAAAGGAGGTCCCGTCTGGCACGCAGAGGCTATGCCTGGAGCACACACAGAGGTCCTAGCCAGGGCAGGAAAGAGGACCCGACAGCGCCAGTGGGAAAGGAGGAGCGATTTTGCAACCCTTTCCGGTAACAACTGCCATGCAACCACTATGGTGTTGTGTTGGTTTTTTTTTGTAGTTCTTTTCATTAATATGCCGTTAATTCAGTAAAACATCTTTGGGAATAAGCAATAAAAGAGAACCATCACATCCCAAGAAAACGTAATTTAAGCTACCTTTTTGATGATGAATGGGATTCTGGATTCCAGTCAGGGTATCTATTTCAAAAATAGAACTATTAATGCAAGAAACAAGCTTTTATATATATATATTTTTTTCCCTTAAAATGGATTGCCAAATTGGCCCCTCAGGTACCGTCCCCATTTTCACTGTCTGCCTAGCTGTGCTTTCTACAGTGTTTTCATTGCGTGCATGCTGAGCTTTAAAAAGCTGGAACTGCTGTTCCAAATAATTTTCCCAGATCCTACACAACTTTTCAATGTTCGGCTGAGAATTTGAACTCTCATTCTTTCCTACTGGTCCTACAGCTACAGGTCAGTATTTTGGCAAAACCCACAGATCCACATTTTGCAAGGTCTGAATAACAGAGTTGGAAGGGACCTTGGAGGTCTTCTAGTCCAACCCCCTGCGCAGGCAGGAAATCCTACACCATTTAACTTCACAATAGTTTCCTGCTGACATAAGCAACTGGCCTGTCCGTGAACCATTGGCTGGTTTACATATTGGCCACTCTTATGTGGAAAGGATCCCACTCTTGATTTCTCCCATCTTCCGATGACCACGAATTATCCCAGGGACTGTGGACAACCCTCTTCCTTCCTTGTTCTCATAATGTCCCATTAATCACACGAAACAACTGCCCAAAGAATGGAACAATCCCTTTCAGAGGGATCATGCTGCAAAAGTTCCAAAGGATTTCATTCGAAAATATAGCAGGAGCAATGATGTAAAAGTTTGTCTCTATGAGCTACGGCAGTGTTTCCCAAACTTGACAATTTTAAGGCATGAGGACTTCAACTCCCAGAATTCCACAGCCAGCAACGCTGAGCTATGGTTTGCTTAATTCAACTATTAATTGAGGTGTTTGTATTAAAAAAGACAGGGACCCGTAGCCTCCAGAATTTAAGAGAAATCAAATAAAAACTCTTACTGTTGGCGTAGCTGGCGGCAGCTTTCAAGGTGGGTGGAAGAATTCTGATGCAGAAGCCAATCCTATAGAGAACAAGCAGCCGGAGTCAAGATTAAACCATGAACTAGGATAATCGCTAATTTTAAGCTTTACACACAGACACAAACCAGCTGTTCCAAGAAGATAAAATAGATAGATCTGTTCACCTCCCTCCACCAATTATCTTCAAAGCAACCTTGTGACTCATGCTCAGTTTCTCCAAAATTCAGGAACTCTCTCATTTCTTCTGTCAAGGTGGGAAGACAGACTAGGACACCGGTGTTGAAAAACGCCCTTCTTTCAGCTTGTGCTATTCTCTGCGGAATTCAGCCTGCCAAGCACATCACAGCTCAGCCATCTACTATACAGAAAAGAGCCCTTGTGGCTTGCCAAATACTTAACCTGCAATTTTATGCAGGCTCAAAAGAAATCAATGTATTAATAGAAACGCTGCAATTGCCAGAGAGAGGGGAGGGCGCAAAGGAAGGGAGGGAGGGAGAACAGGCACTGCTCAGCATGCATTTTGGTTGGGGCTTCTTGGCTGGAACAGAACTACAGGATGAGTGGGAAAGTGAAGGAAATGGGGCATTTTGAACAAATTGATGGTGTGCGTCTTTGGGGCTCCTAGGAGCACTCTACCTTGATCACTGATTTCTGTGAATCCCCAGGAAACACTAGCTTCCATATCCCATCGTGACTATTATCAATTATTATCAATTCATCCAATCACCAAGGTTTGTTTCAAAAAGCTCCCAAGTGCTCTTTTCCTGACTTCCCCAGACCTATGACATTTCCCTTTCTGGGATCTCACAAGACATCCCATTTCAAGTGGAGTCTCCCACCAACATGGCATTTATTATAAGCATCATTTCTTAAAAAAAAAAAAAAAAGCTCAAGTCATGCTTTGCAGGCCACCTCTTTGGAATAAATGAGATAGACATATGCCCTCTTAAGATAAGCAGCAACTTATACCCGAATGTGGGAGAGCCAAAAGAAAACCAGTCATTAATATGGCCATTTTGCTTCGCGCAGGGACCAAATAAAAACACGTAGAAAGGAACTTGGGATCTATTAGCTGTGTTTAAGGCCAACAACAATAACAAGCCACTTTATACACAAAGCTGACCTAGCCCAACGCCATGAGGTCCCAGGAAACTTACATTGTATGTACATCTGGTTTATTCCCAAAGATTTTGAAAGCTTTGTACTTTCGGATTAGCAATGGATCTGTCTGGTAAAATCCGTACTTGTGGAAGAACTGAGCACTAACCCTGGACCTCACTGACAAAGGAAGCACATTAATAAGCCACTGAACCCAGTCAATCCACTTCAGATTATCTGAGCCCAGGACAACACCATAAAATACATCGTACTTCAAATCTTCAGTTTAGGATTGAATATCCGATAACGTTCAACATTTTGTAGGGCATTTGGCACTCTGACTGATGTAAATGACCATCCTAGGCTGCCGATTTACTCAGCTTTATATGCCTGCATGCATGTACAAATTAAAGACAAGATAAACATTAGTGACTATATCTATCAAATCTATTTTAAGAACTGTTAGAGGCTGAAAATACAAATGCTGAAGGAAAAACTAGAATTCAGCTTGTCCTATTGTCTAACAAATGGCAATATCACGTTCTATTTTGTTACGGTCACGTGCCAAAAATATTCTCAAAATATCTGCAGTGATGTTCTTTAGTTCCTGTTTTATCCACCCCTTGAACTGTCAAGCAATGAAAAATATTGAGCCTTAATTGTGCTTTAAGAAAGAAAAAATGTAGCTATGTTGGATGGGGATACCAGACAAGGCCTTGTGGAATGAAATTTTACTGTTATGTGTTAGGATTTGTGGTTAAATGTTAAAAACCTTAACCCTCGGCTGCCATTTTCCTAAGCTACAGAGGTCCATGTGTCTCAACCTGCCCTTGGAAGCCCCCAAGTCATTTGGGTTGCCTTCTTCCACATATCCTCCAGCTATTTTACTCTTTTTCAATGGTGTGTGATTTCCAGAACTCTACAAAGTATTTGATACGTGCACCTACCGCAGATTTTCATACAGGGATTGTTGAAATAATTTGCTTAACGGAGAACAAACACAGTAAGCAAACAAACATAGGAAATAATATTTATGTACAGATTGTGATCAGTGAGTGTCTCATTGCTGTACTAAAGACTCTTGAGATTGGTCCAGAACATTTCAGAGGCATATGCAATATTACTGAAATCAGAGAATAGTCAGATCAAGACCCACCAAATTTGAACAGATTCCAAGTATGACCAAGGTGCTGTGGGATTTAATCTGGTGGAGTAAATCTTCAAATTCCTAAAACAAGCCAGCTCTAAGTCATCATTCTCCAAACTCCAGACACTCTAAAATGTGTTGGATTTCAGCTGACATCCTTGCCAATCAACATCTCCAAGTTTATGCTGTTTAAGTAGAAGTCTAGGCAATAGCCTGGGAAGAAGTATTTTGCATTTAAACCTTGTATGGTTAAAAGGGTCAAGTGGTGTGTTGAATAAGACAGGAAAAAAGCATGCAATCCAACTGTTTGGACAAAGCTAGTTAAATATCTTAACCATTGCTGTTGCCCTTCATTAAGAACGGACAGTAATAGAAAGACATTTGATTCAGATACCTCGTTCTAAACTTCCGGACATTTTAAAAGAAATAAAATGCATACTGGTATAAATATCCATAAACCTAACTGACCTCCAACACAGAGATAACGTTCTGTATAAATCAGTGGTTCTCAACCTGTGGGTCGGGACCCCATTTGGGGTCGAACGACCATTTCACGGGGGTCGCCAAACAACGCAGTCCGCCATTTTTCCCCCCCTTTTCCTTAGCTGTGCTGCTCCCTTTTATTCTATTGGCTTTTGAAAGCCAATAGAATAGAGTCTCTTGAACAGAGTCTAATTCTATTGGCTTTCAAAAGCCAATAGGAATGGTCCAGGCTGTCTCTGCCCTGCTGAGCCTGCCAAAAGTCCCATTCTGCAAACGGTGCTGCACCAGTGGAGTAGTCCTAGGGGGGTTGCGGCATTAAAAAGGTTGAGAACCACTGGTATAAATTATGTAATCTGACGGGGAGGATTTGACTCACCTTCAAATGTCTACATTCTACATTACACAGAGAACACATATGTGGAAATATTCTCGGAGATGCAGCGTAATAATCATTCATCATGGACGGCGTCGGCAGCCTCTTCATTTTCTGGGCGTCCATCTTGGAGAAAACCGGGAGCCAGGAAGCCTTCACCACCCCAAAGGGAGACTTGATCGGCCCTTCGATCTCTTTCCGGAAAGATTTCTCAGTGGGAGGAGGAGGAGGAGGAGCCGGTCCTGGGGGAGCACTCGGCCGCGGCCTGGGCTCCTCGTGAACCCGGTCACGCCTGTTCATACCGCCCAGCATTTCAGGTGCAAACGGCGGCGGCGGCTGGTTCATAGCCGGCATCATGGGCCGAGCTACGGAGGGGGGAGGCAAAGCCTGCCGAACGGGTGGGATCCCCGGCTGAGGTAGGGGGGGCGGTGCCCCAGGCGGCATGATGGGTGGGGCTGCTGGAGCGACCCCGGTTCCTGTTGAAGGGAGACACAATCCGGACATCTTGTTAGAGGTGTCCATGGAGAAAAAAGACTGGGTGCTGGGCGCGCTTCTCTGGAATCCCATCTGCCGGATTAACTCTTCAACCGCGTTCATCTGTTTGCTGGTTATGCCGGCCGGCGGAGTCGGCTGGCTCTGAAATCCTTTCAGGCTGTCTTTGGGGGGCCCATCAGAACCGTAGACCTTCACGTCGAGGGGGCCCTCGTCGTAGCCGTATTTGCTCTCGTGCCCATAATCGATTACTTTGCCCTTGATCATGGGGCCGTGGCCGTCGTCGCCGTGGAAGTTCTCCTTTTCGCTGCTCTGAGGGGGCAAGCTCGGCAGCGGGTGAGCCATTTTTCTCATGCGGATGTCCCTTAAAATGATAGGCATGTTTTCGGGGGTCAACTGATCATCCGGATAGCGACTCAGTTCTTCCAGGTCCTCGTTGGACAATCCGAAGCTCGCCAGGATACTTGAGGCACTCTCGTTGGTATACCGGCTTTGAACGGGCGGGGGATAGTCTGCCATCCTTCCTGGGATGGGCTGACTCTGGCTGTTATTCCCAGGAGGAAACGGGTTGTCCCAATGAGAACCGCATCCTTCCATTTTCTGCTGCTGCGGCAGCTGCTGCTGTTGGTGCTGCTGCTGTTGGTGCTGCTGCTGTTGGTGGTGCTGCTGTTGGTGGTGCTGCTGCTGCTGGTGGTGCTGGTGCTGCTCCATATTCAGTCTCTTGGCCGTTTGTCTTGGGTCCATTCTGAGTGGAGGCACCTGAATGTTCGGCCTTGGAAAGCCTGCCCTCATTTCTGATCCCATGAACCTTTGGGGCATTCCATCAGAATTAGGTGGGAGCTGCCTCTGAAGACCACCTGGTCCAGGTCCCGGCCCATGAAAGGGCCCATGCGGGATTGGATCAGGCATGTTAGGTCCTCTCGGCCTTGGCGGCCTGCTTCCTCTAGGGTTAAACATGGCTAGTTTCAGGAACACCTCATTTAACAACGGAGAGGCGGCTACAGAATAGTTGGGAGCCACCGAGTTGAACGGATGAAGAGCCAACTGGGTCTTAATCTGAGCAAACTGTAAAGGAGGGAGGCCCAACAGAAAGGGGCTGACAATGCCAAGGTTCAGAGAATTCACAAGAGGTGCAACATTTTCCAAGAACACCATAAAGCTGAAAGTTAAAACACACAAAAGTTAATTACATTTATTTTTTTAATCTATTTTTTAAAGTGGTTTTACTGCTTTTAAGCGTATTGTTGAGAAACTGTCTCCTTTAAACAAATAACTACTCATTTGGCAAAGTGGTTTGCTTTTAGCAATTCTTGATTGGTTCGTTTTTACTTCTGCGCTACGTACTTAAGAGTCTAAATCTGGGTTCACACATCATAAGAGACAACATTTGTGGAATAAAGCACAAGGGTGGAATTCACATGACTAGCTAAGCCAAGACCAAACTAATCACATTATAGCCACCCACTTTGGGTGATAAGATGAGCGACGTATAATAAACCAGCTAATGCGATGTACACAGCCTAAAAAAACTTCATATTCAACTCAACTGAAGATGTTTCAAACATTGCAACTTTGGTGATTTTATTATATTCTCTCTGAATGTAAAGAACATTTTATTTACAGTGTCATTAGCAAAAAAAAAATCATAATACAAAAGGGTGCATATAATTGAACCTTCAATCCTCTGCATTTCCTGGAAAATATACATACAGAATTCAGTACATATGCTCTAATACATCAACTGTACCTCCGGTGTGGTAGTAGCAATATTCAAGCAGCACTAAGCACAGAACTATTGTTCAATAATGTTATTAATTACCTGGCAGGCATTCTAAACAAGAAAATATTTCACAAGAGTGGCTTTCCTTTCGTCATACTGTGTTTTCTATTGAATTGGGAAAATACTGCAATAGATTGAAAGTGGACACAGCAAGGAACGGTACATTCTTATTTATTTGCCTTCTATTCAGCAACCACCAGAATGTCCCTCCATTCTGAGATAATGCTAAAAAAAAAAAAAAAAAAGTCACATGGCAGCAGCCAAACAGAAGACACCAGCTCAGCCAGAGTTGTGCTGGTGGGCAACCTTTGTCAGCGACAATTCATGAGTAACCCTGGTTCTTGTGAACCTGAAATGGCCAAGATAATGATTCCTGCTCTGCCCAGAAAGCCCCAACTAAGCAGATCTCTGCTCTTTAGAAGACTATCTACTCGTTTCAGTCTTTTCATTTATATAACTATTACGATATAATGTAATCGCAGCCTACTCTAGGTACAAACAGGGTACATTCTCAATTTAACAGACCAGGGGAAAGAGGTGCCCATGAAATCTGAATGCATGTAATTAATGTAATCGGTGCTCTATATCAGTGTCCACAGTGACCTAATTTATGCAAGCTGTGGATACTGATATAGAGCACTGATTACATTAATTACATGCATTCCGATTGGGACGGCTTTGGAACAACAGATTTTTGCCAATTGTTTAGGGACAAAGTTCAAAGTAAACTTTCTCTACTTCATCTGAGGTCCAGAGAGTCAAGGTGTTTACGGCACTTGTCAAGCAGATTATAAACTGAACACTCACTGTGTGAAACAAAGTTAGCAACTGGGCTACAAGTTGAAAAAAACAGGATCACAAAATCATAACATAAAAAAAAAGCTGGTAAGAAGAAATTCTTCATCCCAACTTGGGGGGCAGTTCCAAAAATATGGGCTCATCCCAGCCCCACCTCTGGTCTAAATGCTCAGCACTCAAAGCATGGATTTACAGAGATGCATTCAGTGCTTTAAATAACCTAACTACTGCAAAACATTCAGAGCCTTAAATGTCAGCTTCGGTGCTTGACACCAAGACAATGATTGTAATACAAGCAGATATTTTGGCCCAGAGATATCCTGGCAGCTCTGTTTTGAGACTTCCATGCTGTCTTAAGAATGCAACAAGGATATGGAGCCGGACAAAAATTTAAAAGGAGGGCTATTCATCTTTGAATCAAATGTGTCTTTTCCCAAGATTGCACACCTAGTGCCAAGACCCCAACTCCTTCTAAGGCAGGGGTGTCAAACTGCAGGCCAGATACATCACCAGGAAACCACGCCCATCCCATTGCCAGCAATGGAGAAAAAGCTCCGATAAGTCGCACAATGCCATGTGACATCGCGAGTTTGACAAGTCTGTTCTAAGAGATTGACAGGAGGACATTTAGGCTTCTGTGAGTTCCAAATCCTCTTCTTCCCTTTCAATCCATATTCCATCATTTCCCCCCCCCCGCCCCAAAACAGCACAGGAAGTATTTAGAGCAGGGGTCTTCAAACTTGGCCCTTTTATGACTTGTGGACCTCAACTCCCAGAATTCCTCAGCCAGGCACAGAATTCTGGGAATTGAAGTCCACAAGTCATGAAAGGGCCAAGTTTGAAGACCCCTGATTTAGAGTAATCCACTCCAGATGCAATTCAGCTGCTAGTAGAATTTAACTCTATCAAGCTGCCTGGTTTTATTTTGTTTTAAAGCAAGAGACCCTCATTCAGAACTATCTGCAAATCATATTCAGGATCTACACCAGGGGTGTCAAACTGCTGGCCCACGGGCCAGATGTGTCATGCCGAAACCGCACCCACCCCATTGCTGGCAATGGAGAAAAAGTTGTGATACGTCGCCACACATCATGTGACGTTGCGAGTTTGACACCCCGATCTACATTCTTACAAGGCAAGCCAAATTTGCCCTGTCTCCCCCCCCCCCGGCCATCCTTTCTTTCTGCAACAAGCAGCCATGTCAGGTGATTGTGTTCAGTTAGGAGTTCGTTGGATTTCAATATAGCACTGCAAAAAAAAAAAAAATCTCAAAAATAAGAGACAAGTACAGAAACATTCACTTGTGCAAGAACATTCTGCAATTTTGATGCATGTCATAAGCAGCTCAGCTAAAAACCACAGGACAGGGGAAGAAAACAAGCAACACCGTTGGTTATGAATCAAAACGTTTAATGATGTGTGGTTGATACAGAGCCAAAGATATTAGTCGTCTTCTTTACACAAGTCTTTAAACAACAAATGAGAATTTGGTTCTTAGCTGGTTCTACAGAAACGCCATGAACAAAAAGGGTTCCGTAAGTTCTACTAATGATTGTGTTGCTCCCGACACCTTAAGCAAGCTTTGCAGTGGGAGAGTGAAGGAACTACAGCACACAGAATGCTGCCCCCTATTGCCACACCTCCAAGTATGTTCTGGCTCACAGTTACTCCTGTGCTGTTAGCTACAGAATCAGAACAAGACCCATCTGTGGAACTCAGGCCCTCGGTCAGGCCAGGCACAAACACAATAGATGAACCTCCACCCCTGTTTTTAATTCCCCAAGCTGAAGAGGCAGGTAAAATTACATGGCTAGTCTCTGGACCTTCTATCAGAAGAGACAGATGAAGAGACTGGACAACCGTTTGTCTGAAATGATATAGGGTCTCCTGGTTGGACTAGAAGACCTCCAAGGTCCCTTCAGACGGTTATTCTCCGTTATTAACTACAAACTATACCTACCTATTTTCTTCAAAATCACCTGTATTTTCTACTCAGCCTCCCCCCCCCCCCCGCCAGAAAAAGAGCCCAGGAGCAAATTGTATTAGGAAGACAAATGCTGGGCTGAGGGTCGGATAGGAAGAATCCTAATGCACTTATTGAGCCTGAAAGAGAAAAAGGTACCTTCGTAGAATTATAGGGCTGAAAGGGATCTCGGAGGTCTTCTAGTCTAACCTCCTAACCAAGGCAGGAGTCTTTATAACTGAACATCCTGGACAAATGTCCAATCTTTTCTTGAAAACCTCCAGGGATGGAGGTTTTATTGTCGTTTTTTTTTTACTGTGGGCACAACGGCACACATCAAAAATGAAATTTAGTCACCCACCAGTCTGGAAGGCCTTGTATTGGTGTCCTTGGAAACGTGGGCCCAAAACAAGATGGAAAAAGTGGAGAGGGCCAGAGCAGAAACCACAACGCAAGGAGGGAAATCAACGGGTAACAAGCCATCAGGCAGCAACACGTGTTCTGTGTGTGTGTGTGTGTGTGTGTGTGTGTGTGTGTGTGTGTGTGTACCAAGGGCCACTTTTAAGATCTGTGGACTTCAACTCCCAGAATTCCCCAGCCAGCTTTCCCCTGGTATAAGCACAGCCTAAAAGCTACATGGGCAGAAGCAAGTTTCCTCCCACCCACCCACCCACCCCAAAAGCAAAAGAATCTGCATTTTTAGACCAAAAAAAGCCCCCTTCTGGGAGCCTGCCCCAACTTTCATCTCCAAGACTTGGCCTGCTCAAAATCTGCCCAAAAGCAAATTCTGCAAGATTCACCCCCCACACACAAAGCTGGGGGGGGGGAGAGAGAAGAGAGACCCTCTCCTCCTCTTGCCTGGTCAGGGAAGACCCCTGCCCCTTTTTGTCTTGCGGGGGGGGGGGGAAGGGGGCGGTTTGCAAATATCAGAGGCAAGCTTTGTCCTGCCCGGGGGGGGGGGCAGAACCCAGGACATCCCCTCAAATAAATAAATAAATAAACCCAATCCTCTCTTTTGCCCCGAGGGTCCCAACGCCTCCTTTTGACAGTTAACGGGCTGCAAATAAATTGAAAAGATAAATGGGATAAATGGAATAAAAGGGATAAATGGCACAAACGTAACGGATACACTGAATCAATGTAATAAATAGGATAAACTGAATCAATGCAATTAATAAAGTAAAACGGCACAAGCCGGTCTGGAGGCCCGGAAAGCCGCGGGGCGTCCGGGAAGACCCGGACGGGGCCTAGCACCGCCGGCTAAGAGGGCGCCTCCGGCAGCGGACCCGACGGGCGCCGGGGGAACCCCAAAACTGAGCCGGGCGGCCCTGCCAGGGAGGCCCGGCGTCGCCCCTCAGCCGCCATTTTGAGGCCTCCTGCCTCCCCCCCCCCGCCGCCGCCCTGCGCCCGCCCGGCATGGCCTGCGGGAGGCCGGCACCGACCGCAGCGCCCACCTCTTCTCCGCTCCTGGCCTCGCCCTTCCCCGGCCGCGCGGGCCTCGCGTCGCTCGAGTCGCCGCACCGCCGCCCAGACGCCTCAGGGACCGCCGCCGCCGTCGTCGTCGCCTCAGCGCCCAGGGCCGCCGGGGTCGATTGCGCAGGCGCGGGGCGCGTGCGGAGACAGCCGAAAGCGCGCCGACGCGGGGGGGACGACGACGACGCGCATGCGCTCGCTTGGGCGGGGGCCCGGGCTTTGAGGGGGGCGAGAGACGATGCGGGAGCGCGCGCCGGGCGCCTGCGCAGTCGCTCGGATCCGCTGAGCTAGCGGTGCGGGAGGTCGGATTGTGCGGCGGAAGTGCGCATCTGTTTGCACCTAGCCAAGACCCGGAGGGGGGGTCCCGCGCGTACCGACAATAAAGCCCATGCATGCATGGGGACCCCCCCCATCTGCTGAACTGCAGCTGGAATTGTGCAAAGCCCCGTCCATCTAGAGCAGGGGTAGGCAACCTTGGCTCTTTTGTGACTCGTGGACTTCAACTCCCAGAATTCCTGAGCCAACATGGGGGAATTATGGCCCCTTCATGACTGGTGGACTTCAAATCCCAGAATTCCTGGGCCAGCCATGCTGAGGGGAAAGGGAGAGGTTTCCAAGCTGAGCCAGGCTGGCTCAGGAATTCTGGGAGTTGGTCCACGAGTCATAAAAGAGCCGAAGTTGCCTACCCCTAGTCCATGGTTCATTTAACAACTGCAGCAATTATCTGAACCATGGTAAAATCAGGCCTGGTTCCATTAGCATCTTGCTTAGGAACAGAAATTGTGGTCGTAACTGGAGGACCTTATACACTGAAATCTTCCATCAATCCTAGGATGCTGATTTCATGTTTGTTCAGTACAGGGGGTGGCAAAACAATGCCAGATGTGTGAGATTTGCACGCAGCTGCCACAGCTGGTTCCATTGCTGTGCAAGGCAGTTGCTGACTTTCATACACACACACACACACACACACACACAGCTAATTTAGTTAAAAACACGAATCCTGGGTTGAGTCATACTATAAAAAAACAAACACAAACACCAGGAAAATTTTAAACTAAAAACATTTAATCTAATGCCAAGCTTTTGTCGGCCAACTGCCGACATCATCAGGGCTTAAAGCCAGTCGATGGGAGTCTCCTTTATAGTGCTAGTCAGTTTTTGCGCACGGCTCCTGGACCTCATCACCTGTCCTAATTGGTTGGGCTGTGTATTGGTGGTATTCTTGATGTTAATTGATGCTCCCGTTTAACAGCTCTCTTGTTCTTTTGGAACGTGTGCATGCATACCCCCAGCGAAGGGGTTTCTGTTGGTTGTTTATTGGCAACCACTATCTGATTGTCCGTGGGTTGCAATGACACTTTCACTCCTCTGTTGTCCTGTCTCCTTGATCTTGTGGCACATAGCTGGATCATTTTTGTTGGGATGTATGATTTTGTTTATCCCACACTCTCAATGCCTGGTGTGCCGGGCAGTCTATGTGCCGGTTTATCGACTTTTTATCGGAGAGCCAAGCCTCTTTAAGTAGGCGGCCTCCTTTGGTGGTATCACTGGATAGGGTATGCACATCGTTAAAAGTCGAACTGATAGCCAAAACCAGCCATATGCGTCCATACTTGTGAGTGCTGTTCGCACCTTTTGATGGCCAGCTTGTGCTCATGTATCCGGGTTTTCAGTCTTTTGGAGGTCTCCCCAACATAATTGCAAGGACAGTCTTTGCAGTTGATCTTATACACCACCGCAAATTTTTCTACGTTGGGGAATGGGTCCTTAGGGCGCATGATCTTGGAGCGCAGTGTTTTGTGGGCTACTTTTATGTTATGGGGGGCTAGTAGCCTAGCTGTGGCTTCGGACACATTGTTGATGTAAGGGAGGGAAATGCGTGCCGCCTGAGGTGATGTCCTTATAATCTGTAAATTCTGCTGGGGTTTGGGTGGTGCACCGTGGTGTTTGATAAACCTTACTGGATAGCCGTTGCGTTTGCAGATGCAGAAAAGATGGTTCCTTTCCTCGGCTTTTGCTTCGGTCCTGCGCTCTGTCTCTATCTCTCTCTCTTTCATGCATTCAACAGTACTTGTATTCTTTTCTCCAGCCATTGATAGTAGTAGTAAAGTTGGAAGGGACCTTGGAGGTCATCTAGTCTAACCCCCTGCTCAGGCAGGAAACCCTACACCATTTCGGACAAATGGCTGTCCAGTCTCTTCTTAAAAACTTCCAGTGTTGGAGCATTTACCGCTTCTGGAGGCAGGCTGTTCCACTGATTGATTGTTCTCACTGTCAGGAAGTTTCTCCTTAGTTCTAGGTTGCTTCTCTCCTTGATTAGTTTCCACCCGTTGCTTCTTGTCCTGCCTTTAGGTGCTTTGGAAAATAGCTTGATAAAATAACTTCCAAGTATTGGATTGTTTCTTCTTTTTCTTTCAACCTCAAAGTCAGTCTATCCATCTTCTCACATTCTTGTATTTTTTTAATTATTCCTTCATCTCGTGGTATTTCTTCATTTTTCCAGGACTGTGCAAATATAATTCTTGCCGCTGTTATTACATGCAGAATCAAACATATGCTTTGTTTATCAGTCTTTTCTGGCATTATACCTGATAAAAAAAGTTCTTGTTGTTCTTGTGCCATATCCGTTATAAGATGTTGGCAATCATGTTGGCGAACCTGTTTTTATCAGCAGCCGCACAAAAAAGTGCTGCTGAATTTTGTCCAAACCAGTCCCTTAGATTTTGAAGCCACGATGTTCTTCTTCTGCCTGGACCTCGTTTGTCTTCAATCTTTCCCTGGAGGATTAAACGGAGTATGTTGTATTTTTCTGGGTGTCACATCACATGTCTGAAATATTCTAATTTTCATTTTTTAATTGTTTTGATGATTTCCCTGGCTTTCCCAGGTGGCTTATCACCTCATTTCTTATCTTGTCAACCCAGCTTATACGTAACAGCCGCCTGTAAATCCACATTTCAAATGCTTCTAGTCTCTTCAGATGGCCTTCTGTCAGAGACCAACTCTCTGCTCCAAAGAGCAAGATAGAAAAAAATATAGCATCTGACAAGCCTGATTTTCAGTCTTGGGCTTATGTCGTGTTCAGGGTTAAAAAAAAAGTCAAAAAAAGTTCAGGGTTAAAAAAATACATGTTTTCCCAACATCTTTTCTAGCCAAGTATGCGTTTTCTTCCAATAACTCTTTGCTTTGGCACACGTGCCCCAAACAAGGTAGTAAGTACCTGACTTGTGTTTACATTTCCAACATCTGACATGTTTTTAAACATGTTTGCTAATCTTGCTGGTGGCAAGCGCCACGTATAAAACATTTTATGTAAATTTTCTTTATAAAACGTTGACATTGTCAATTTATCATTTCTTTCCCCTTTCTTGCTGGAGTCCTTGTTGAACCCCTGCCATAGTTAAGTTAGCAACATGGTCGTGAAGTGAATCCGGCTTTCCCCCCATTGACTTTGCTTGTCTGATGGTCGTAAAAAGGGGATCATGTCACCCCAGGATGCTGCAAAGCGTCATAAATATGAGTCAGTTGTCATTCATCCGAATTTAAATCACATCACCCTGGGGATGCTGCAGCGGTCGTGAAAATGGGTGAAAAATGTTCATACTTTTTTTCAGTGCGGTTGTTAACTTTGAACAGTCACTAAATGAACTGTCGTAAGTCGAGGATTATTTGTAACCCTTGCAGAATCCTCGGGTTAGAACCTGGGACCCCGTAGGTCATCTAGCCCAACCCCTCCGCCTCTTCCTCTAAGCTGCAGTCGGAGTCTCTGCCAGGGAGGCTGCAAAAGCGGCACTTGCGGCGAAGAGCCACCAGGGGTCGCCAGTCTCCGCTTCTCAGCTGCCCGACCCGTTGCATTCACACCACGCGGGAAAAAAAACACCAGATGCGTGACCCCGCTTCTGCACTGACCCAGGTTCCCCATTAAATTCACCCGACACGCAAACCAAAGGAAGGCGGAGGGAGTAAGAGCGTGTCTGCCCGACGCGTGTCCACTCTGGCGCATTCACACGACCAGAGTGGCCGATATTGGGGAAACCAGGGTTTTCCCGGTTCCTCCAACTCTCTGGAGTCACAGAATACGGCTCGCCGGCCGCATCTTGACCCTCTGAAGGAATAAAGGAGGGAAACTCTTTCGGTAAGCAGAGAACCGCGTTCACCGCCAGCCACGGCCTGCCTGCCGCCCCAACGGGCAGCCGCGGAGCGCTTCACGCATGCGCCAAGAGGTTGGCAACTGGCCGCGCAGGCGCAAAAGGGTATCGAGGTAATCCGCGTGCACAGCACCGCGCAGTTCTCCTCCCGGTCTTCCACAAGGCGCATGCGCAGAGGCTGGAAAAATAATTGGAACAGACGGGAACATAGGATGATATCGGCGGCCAATGGCGTGTATTCTTGGGCGCCCATCGCCTGTATTTCACCGCCCCTGACGGGTTCTTTGCGCATGTGCCAAGAAAAAAAAAAACCTGCGCAAATCATCTTGGCCAGCAGATGTCGCCCTTTTTCTGATTGAGTCAGCCCGGGCATCAAGCAAGATCTCTTTTTGCTAGTATAACTAATACAAAGTCTTCCAACTTGGCCCTTTGATGACTTGTGGACTTCAACTCCCAGAATTCCTCAGCCAGGCACACGTGCCTGGCTGAGGAATTCTGGGAATTGAAGTCCACAAGTCATCAAAGGGCCAAGTTGGAAGACCCCTGGACTAATACACCTCCCTTACTACAGTAGCGGGAAATTAAAAAAAAAATTTTTTTTCACCCAGTTCAAAATCTGGTCTCAGCTCCGCAGTTGGAATTCAACAACCTAAATCTCTTAGGTAGGTGTGCAAAAATTGTTTCGGGATGGGATAGAAAACAGCAAAGCAGCGAAAATGTATGCCAATTAGAGTACACTCAAAGTGCCAATAAAGTTATTATTCTATTCTAATCGAGCAAATCGTTTTGTCTCTTTGTTAGTAAGCCAGAACAACTTGGGGTGCCTGGCTGAGGAATTCTGAGAGTTGAAGTCCACAAGTCATCAAAGGGCCAAGTTGGAAGACCCCTGATACAGACTTTAAGAGGAGTGGACTTCAACTCCCAGAATTCCTCAGCTAGCAGGCCTGGCTGAGGAATTCTGGGAGTTGAAGTCCACATGTCATAAAAGGGCCTGGTTTGAAGCCCCCTGATATAAATTTTAAGAGGAGTGGACTTCAACTCCCAGAATTCCCCAGCCAGCGTGTCTGGCTGAGGAATTCTGGGAGTTGAAGTCCACAAGTCATCAAAGGGCCAAGTTGGAAGACCCCTGCTATACAAGAAGGGGAGAAAAAAAAAAAACACATACAAGCTATTATCATTCCAGACATACATAACACCTATTTCTAAATTGAAGCCACGGTGGACCGCATTCCTTCATCCAGAACTGACCCGTATCATTGCCTCTTGCCTGTACATTGAACGGGTTAATGTTTCAATATTCTATATAGGTAGTCTGAGGACCATATGACCTATGACCATAATGGAACCCCCAAATAAAGTGAGACACTGAAGTGAGTTTCGCCCCATTTTACGACCTTTCTTGCCACAGCTGTTAAGTGAATCACTGCAGCTGATAAGTTAGTAACCAGGTTGATCAGTGAATCTGGCTTTCCCCCCCCCCCTTGCCTTTACTTGTCAAAAGGTTGCCAAAGGGGATCGCGTGACACCCTGAAAACAAAATCTCAGTGGTTTGGGCCAATGGTTTTCGAACAGTAAACCTTTCCACTCTCTAAGTCCATTTTCCGCGAGGTTTCTACTGTAATTCTTTCTGGCTGGCTTTCCTGGTGGTCTCCCGTCCACGCGCGGAGCCCCTGCTGTGAGCGGAGGCCTCGCAGCTGCAGCGACGCTCGCGAGGCGGAAACTGCTGTCCGAGCCACGTGTCCGCGCTGCGGTCCGGCCAAACCATTTCCTCGGGAGGGGGGACAGCGAGGAAGCCTTTCGCTCGAGACAAAGAGGCGAGCCGCGACGGGCCCGCGAATCTGCCCCCCCATCGCGCGCTTGGTTTGGTCCCTTCTCGGATTGGCGGAGGTCTCAGTGGGAGAGGCAGCCGCCTCATCCAATCAGCGCCCGGCGTGGCAGAAGAAGGGCCCGCCGAAGGCCAATGGCTCGCCCGCGCAGGGCTGCCCACGTGGGAGACGCAGCTGGTCCGAAGACGGAGGGGGCGAGGGCGGCGCCTCCGCCAATCAGCGCCGCGAAAGAGGGGCCCTCCGGCTGACGTCACGCGCGTCTGAGACGCGAGCCCCCACCTCTTCCCCCCTCAGCGAGGAAAGGCGTCGGACGGGTCTCCGGGCCAATGAAGTGAGGGCGGGCCGAGGGCGAGCGGAGGCGGGCTTTGGCGGCGAGCGGCCAATGGGCGTCGCGCTCGCAGGGGCGGCATGGCGGGCGCCGAGGCGGCAGCCAATGGGCAGGACGGGAGGGGCGGGGCGCGGCGGGAGGCGGGGCCGGGGCCGAGGGAGCGCGAGCGGGCGAGTCGGGCTGAGGCGGCCCAGCGGGCGGGCGGGCAACGCGCAGCGGCGGAGGCCCCGCGGGGCCCACGGCAGGTAGGAGCGAGCGGGCGAGCGGCGGGGAGGGAGGGAGTCGCTAGGGACACGCGTCTGCGCCCCGCGTGGGGAGCTGCGGCCCCGCGTCTGGGAGGGCGGCCGGTCCACCTCCCGCCTGGGCCCCTCCGCGCGCCCCGGGCCCGCCGACGGCCCTCTTTGCCGGCCCAGCGCCCAACGAGGAGGGGCCTCGCTGCCTGTGCTGGCCCTGCTCTGGGTCAGAGGTCTCTGTCTGCTGGAAGGGGGGCGGACTCCAAGTCCCAGAGGTCCCAGCCCAGCCTGCTTGGAGAGGGGTGGACTCCAGCTCCCAGAATCCCCCATCCAGCCTGCTGGGACTCCAGCTCCCAGAATCCCCCACTCAACCTGCTTTGAGATAGTTGGACTCCAGCTCCCAGAATCCCCCATCTAGCCTGCTGGGACTCCAGCTCCCAGAATCCCCCACTCAACCTGCTTTGAGATAGTTGGACTCCAGCTCCCAGAATCCCCCATCCAGCCTGCTGGGACTCCAGCTCCCAGAATCCCCCACTCAACCTGCTTTGAGATAGTTGGACTCTAGCTCCCAGAATCCCCTGCCCAACCTGCTTTGAGATAGTTGGACTCCAGCTCCCAGAAACCCCCATCCAGCCTGCTGGGACTCCAGCTCCCAGAATCCCCCACTCAACCTGCTTTGAAATGGCTGTATTCCAGCTCCCAGAATCCCCCACCCAACCTGCTTTGAGATGGGTGGACACCAAGCCCTAGAATTCCTCAGTTAGCCTGCTTTAAGATGGGGAGACTCCAGCTCCCAGAATCGCCCACTCAACCTGCTTTGAGATAGTTGGACTCCAACTCCCAGAATCTCTTGTTAGCATCCTTCATGGCGGGTGCAGGCCATCTCCCAGAATTCCCCACTAATCTTGGTTGGAAGTGGCTGGGCCCCGAGTCCCAGAATTCTCCAGACAATATGTTTTAAATGTGGGTGGATTCCAGCTCCCAGAATTTCCTAGCCGGCTGGGTGTGGGGATTCTGGGAGCTGGAGTCCACCCACCTTAAAGCAGGCTGGGCTGGGGAATTCTGGGAGTCCCTGAGGTTGAGAAATGCAGTTCTGGGCACTTGCCTGCCTTTCCTTTCCTTCTTGGACAGAGGTGGCCAACCTTGGCCCCTTTATGACTTGTGGACTTCAATTCCCAGAACTCCTCAGCCAGGCACGCGTGCCTGGCTGAGGAATTCTGGGAGTTGAAGTCCACAAGTCATAAAGGGGCCAAGGTTGGCCACCTCTGCTCTGGGGGGAATATAATGCATGTTGAGTAGACTCCTCTCCAACGTTTGCCTGTTGTTGGCTGGATTTGGGGAAAGAAAAAGCAAATGCAGAAAGCAAACATGGATGTATGTTAGTCATACGGACCGTCGTTTTTCTACCGAATGAGGTGATGTAAGTCGGGCAGTCCCTGCGGGAAGCAGGACTGGCGGGAGTTGACTTTGACCTATCTTGGTTTGGCTGGCCTGTTTTGTAGCCTTTGGGGCAACTTTCCTGCCAAGAGCTGCTTGTGGGGCCCTTCTGAGTGGTGCTCTTGTCTGGCTTGTACCTGAAGCCCGAGGTTGGGCCTGGGTTGCAAAGACTGGCTCTACAAGCCAGGTGTTCTGATGGCTTCTGAAGGATGAAGGTTCCATTATATAGGTTGGGAAGGGCAAAAGGTTCAGTCTTTTGGTCATCCGCAGCTGGCTGGAGTTGCTGTATTTTGTACTTTGAGGGAAGAATGCCACTCCCTCGTAGCACTGATGATGTTACTTAGTTGGGTGATGAAACGTCTGCAAGGGAACCACCCAGCTCAGAGAGCACCAAGGACCCCACAGTCCTCCCCCTTCTCCTCCTCTTCCTCTTCTTCTCAAACCCCATTTCCTTCTAGCACTGATGATATTACCTAGTTGGGTCATGAAATGTCTGCAACAAAACCACCCAGCTCAGAGAGCACCAAGGACCTCACAGTCGTCCTGCTCCTGCTCCTCCTCCTCTTCTCAAACCCCATTTCCTTCTAGCCCTGATGCTGTTACCTAGTTGGGTCATGAAATGTCTGCAACGAAACCACCCAGCTCAGAGCGCATCAAGGACCTCACAGTTATCATCCTCCTCCTCCTCTCCACAAACCCCTCCCCCTTCTAGCACTGATGCTATTACCTAGTTAGGTCATGAAACGTCTGCAAGGAAACAACCCAACTCAGAGGGAACCAAGGACCCCACAGCCGTTATCCCCCTCTTCCCCCCTCCCCCCCACGTAGGCATGTGAGACACCTTTTGGTACATAAATATAAACAAACCCCTTTCAAAAAGCAGCCATGGCTTTAACCAAACATTTGCATTCTAGCATTCTAGTCAGACTTTCCATGCAGCAAGAGCTGGTCTTCACTAAACAAAACGACAGGCGGCTTCGTCCACCGAAAAACCATTAAAGCAACAGTCCTGTTATGTGAAAAGAACCGTATTAGACCTTCTCTTTCACTTCACAAATATGACTGCCTTCTAGATGTTGTTACCTAGTTGGGTAATGAAACGTCTGCAAAGACAACAGCCAAGCTCAGAAAACGTGATTCGCTTGCGCCTCCCACAGGAAACGCTGGACGTCTAGCGTGTGCTCAGGCCTATCACCTGCTAGATCAGTGTTTCTCAACCTTGACAAGTTTAAGGCATGTGGACTTCAACTCCCAGAATTCCACAGCCAGCAATGCTGGCTGTGGAATTCTGGGAGTTGAAGTCCACATGCCTTAAACTTGTCAAGGTTGAGAAACACTGTGCTAGATTGACTTCAGCGGGAAACCCCCATCCACAGACTGAGTTGAGGTGTAGTGGCAGGTGCAAATTTGGATGCATCTTTGGGAGGGACCCTCGTGTCCAATTAGAGATTGGTGCTAAAGGTCCTCTGAATGCCTGCCAAACCAGAAAAACTTGTATTTTGTTGAGCTTGCACAGGAGAGGCCCCTGAGGAAAGTTAGTGTGTCTGTCTGACAGGTTTCGGGAGTGTCAGCCATTCCTGGGCTTATCCAGAGAAAAACAAAAGGGGGGGGGGAAGGTGTGGAAAAAAAATAGCGACTTCTGGGTTTTGAAGGGCGAAAGAAAAACATTGCAGGAAGTTAAAATTCACTGCACAATTAGGCTGATGGGTATTTATTGTTTTTCAGCCTCCTTTTTGACATCTGGGGAGAGAGCCTGTGCAAACAATTTGGGGGGGGGGTCCCAGATGCTTTCAACCTGGTTAATCCTTCGGGCTCCTGCTCAAATCTGGTTTGTGCAGGAGAACATCCCAGGAGGTGTGGAAATGATGGGGTTTTCAAGAGTTTTGGGGTTGTTGTTTTTTTAAGGCAAACCATAAAGAGAGCTGTTTGCATCCTTTCTTGGTTTTTCTGTCAATTCAGCAAAAGGCGTCCGCCTCTTAGTCCAGGGGTAGGCAACCTCGGCTCTTTTACGACTCGTGGACTTCAACTCCCAGAATTCCTGAGCCAGCATGAGGGAAACTTTGACCCCTTCATGACTGGTGGACTTCAACTCCCAGAATTCCTCAGCCAGCCATGCTGAGGGGAAAGGGAGAGGTTTCCAAGCTGAGCCAGGCTGGCTCAGGAATTCTGGGAGTTCAGAGGTAGGCAACCTTGGCTCTTTTACGACTCGTGGACTTCAACTCCCAGAATTCCTGAGCCAGCCACGCTGAGGAAAAAGGGAGAGGTTTCCAAGCTGAGCCAGGCTGGCTCAGGAATTCTGGGAGTTGAAGTCCTTCAATCATAAAAGAGCCAAGGTTGCCTAGTCCTGTCCTAAGTCTTAAACGGTGAGCCTCCTAGACCAGGGGTAGGCAGCCTTGGCCCCTTCATGACTTGTGGACTTCAACTCCCAGAATTCCTGAGCCAACATGAGGGAACTATGGCCACCTCATGACTCCTGGACTTCAACTCCCAGAATTCCTGAGCCAGCCATGCTGAGGGGAAGGGGAGAGGTTTCCAAGCTGAGCCCTGCTGGCTCAGGAATTCTGGGAGTTGAAGTCCACCAGTCGTAAAAGCCCAGGTTGCCTATCCCTGTCCTTAGTCGATGATAATAAGGAACGCCACTCTAATAATAAAAATACATTCTGAGATTTTTTGGGATGGAGAAACGAACGCCTCACTAAGCAGTGAAGGGATTGTAGAGTTTGTTTAGTCACCATTCAAAGTTATGACCGTTTTTCACACTCAACGACCGTCGCACCCTTCCCGGGGTCACGTGACCACAATTCGGACGCTTGGCAACTGGCTCACATTTATGACGGGTTGCAGCGTCCTGGGACCACGTGATCCTCTTTTGCGACCTGACAAGCAAAGCCAATGGGGAAGCACCCACTTCACTTCGTAGCTGTGGCAAGCTCAGTTGTGACACAAGGCAAAACTCACTTAACAAATGTCTCACTTAACGACCTGGGCTTAATTGTCGTACGTCACGGACAACCCGTAGTATTACAACAGCCATCCCCAGGCTGATAACCCTCCGTTGCTGAGCTGGGCCAGCAGCTCCGTCCTCTGTCGGTGTCTGGCTATGAGTAAAGCAGCAGACCAGGTGAAGGGTTTGACACACAACTTGTGTGACAATCTGATACGTGTTAAAAGCAGAACGCTTTTGCCTGCCAAAGAAACACCCCTTGGCTTATTTACTGGGAATTGGGTTTCAACCGAGAAGGCCGTGTTTCAGATCACGGTCTGGGTGAGCAATCCTACAGCATGGTGGCTTGTGAGCCAGCTGTCTTGTGTGTGTGTAAGATTTTGTTTTCATTTGCATATGTATAAAACCCAAATCGTGTTGAGCCTCTGAGCTCAACAAAGCTTGCTTGTGCTGGATCGGTGTCTAGAAAAGGGCTTGTGATTTTTGCTGAATCAGTGGGGTCTTAATGCAGCAGCTGAAAGAGGAAAGGAAGGTGCAGTGAGTAAGGAGGAAGAGGAGGAGGAGGCTGTTAGAAGCTGGGGAGGGGGGGAACCATTTCAAAGAAGCTTCTAAAGAAGCATCACAAGCCGCA